TGTGGAATTTGTAATTCATATTTCTACCCTATCTAATATCGGGTCATTACGATTAACAATTTAACAGTTTGCTTCAATATAAATACAGACCCTTAGAAGCAGTTTATTATTAGTCTGCTGGCAAAAGAGAAAAATTGCCCACCCACATTCACCCCAGAGAGCGTTTTATAAGTGGGGCGCGAGGGTCCAAGTTTCTTGACGGGGAATCCACACCCATCTCAGCCCAGTTAAATTCTGTACTACTTTCCTACTAACTAAAAAAATTCACTCAAATTCGTCAAGTACCCGTACTACTTCCAGGGGGCTACTGATCTGAAACTAAACCGTTATAAAGTTTACGACGTAAACGGTTATAGAAGAACGTATTTCAACTAGGTACTCAGAAGCCACATAGACGTCTCATTCAGAGCCTTCAGATATTAAATTGTTTTATGATTTACTAGCTAATTAGGTAGATATTTGATTGCTACTTCAGTGGCGGATTCAATAGGGGGAGCCGGCCTAGGCCCCTAAATTTGTCCAAATTATTTTTTTTAAATGGAGAAAGAAATTAGAAAATAATGTTCAAATTTAAGTCTGAAAGTGCATCGGCCATCTGAGGCGCCATAATCATAAATGTCTTTACCTAATCCCCGACCATGGTGGGGCTCATAAGGTGGTCTATACCCCTCCCCCATATGTGAATCCCCCGCCCACCTGCCTTCTCTATTTTGAATTCCTGGATCCGTCACTGTATTAACGGTGTTAAAAACACCATGCCTACTTACCCTGAAAAGTGGGACTGGACAATCCCCCTCCCCGGGCAATCCCCTCCCCCGGGCAAATTTCTTGCGCCATTGTTAGTTATTCAAAATCACCCCCAACACTAATGGAAAAAATTAAAAACATCCTAGCCATTTGGTGCAGGTTCGTATATTAGGTATTCTAATGTTAAAGGATTCACTATCATTATAATAATTAATTTATTGTTGGCCTAATATGAAATATAAATTTGACTAAAAATCAAATATTTTTTGGCAAAATTGAGAAAACTAAACCACGTCCAAGCACGTAGTTATAAAATGAGCATCTTTTATTATAATCATTATTATTATCATTATCATTTATCAATTTAATAATTGATAGCCTAAGGCTATCATTCCACGGCAGTATACACAAACCATTGGGCACTTATTTTCATATCAAGACCCAAGCTCATAGAAGTTATCGTCTACGCATATCTTTTTACAGATATGAATGCATTATTGTAACACACCTACAACTCCCTGGATACTAACACAAGTAATCTTAGCTCATAGGCTACTGCAGTGCATAGTGCTGCTACAGGATTTAAACATAGTGCACTAAACCTCGTCAGAGTATTTGTTAAATTTTGCGCCATAACATTAGCACGTATGCAAGTAGATCTGTTTTGAATGACGTCTAATATCATGTGCCTATGTCCGAGATAATATTATGTGGATTGGTCATGCACTTTTACACGAATAGAATCTCTAATTTAGATTAGTAGTATTTACTCTAGGCCCTATTGAAGGCCTATCATAAGGCTTTGTAGTGTATTTCTGAATACAGGTTTTATGTATTCAATTTGGTATTTAAATTCTTAAGCAATATATAGTTGTGTACATATAATAACATATTCATTATGAACTTCAGACCATTTTACAACTTATGGCTCTTGGCGTTAACAATACGGTGATGGTGATGATAAATATGTTATACATTTTTAAGTACTCCAATCGTGTGCCGATATGTGTAACTGAACAGATTGCTAACGGTAGGCCTACTCTAACTGATAACTTTTGTTCAAACAGCTAGACCGTTGGGACACTTTTATCAGACGAACAAATGTGGAGTATTACATTATCTTACGACATTGACTTTTATTTAATCAAATTAATGAAAGAGCTGTTAATATTTTACTTTTTTTTTTACTTGCTTGGTAGTCAATTTAAAAAAAAATCATTTCTGTTTGGTGGGAGTCTGTTGGGTTGTGGGTATGTGTGCTGACATAGTGCACACATGGATGTAACTGCCAGACCTCGATGCTTGAGAGTTCAGCTTTAAGTCAGGCCAAATTGACAATTTTGGCATACAAGCGACATCTATTAGTGAAATATTCCGGGTCCGACCAAAACCGGCCTGACCGCTTTACGTCCTTGAAATTGGCCTATATTTGCTCATACTATATTATTACCTAATTCTTTTTATTTCATCTTTGTTTTCCAGTGTCATTTTTAGCAAAGCTGATATAGAGGCCCGGCAATTTTCAGTGTTAACTTCATTAACCATTAAATTTAAAATGTTTGATAGACAAATCTAACAAAACACAGTTCAATTTGCCACCCTTGCCCATCAAAGTACAAACAAAACTTCTCAAAATTAGACAGCGTCTAGGACTAAAAGGGAACACCCAGTGGCGGCTCCAGATTCCCCAACGAGAGGAGTAGACGGGCTATGAAGGATGGAAGAATACCTTTTAGGTAGTCTCGCCTCCATGAGTATCTCCGGTCATATCGGAAAGCGGTAGCAACTAATCAAGGGACAGTAAGTTTTTACGAAAGTTGCATCTTAAAATTAAGGATACAATTAGAGCAAGCATATACACCAGTGTATGTTACTTATTACGATATTTCTAATTGATATTGATTAAACAAACATAAATGTTTGTTAACATTAACAAAATTGTATGTTGGCAATAGGTTATGAATAAAAAGTATGTAATTGTTTTGTGGAGAAATATAAAATATAATTGCGTTTTGTTATCTTGAGACGTTATTAAAAGAGTTACTATGCTGTATTAACCATTTTTATAAACCCTCTCCAATCCCTCCCCCAACCCCTGAAGCCAAAAAAAAACAAACAAAAAAAACAAAAAAAAACAAAAAAAAAACGAACAAAAGAAAATACATCGCTGATGAATATATCAGGAGCGGATCCGAAAGGGATCGAAAAGGGGCCCAATAGGGGTGCTAGAGTGGCATTGCCGCAATAGGAAATCCAAAGGGGAGGGGATGGCCCTCTCAAATAGAGTCTGCTAATTACTGAAACATTGTAAAAAAATATTTCATAAATATTTTAAACATTTACAAGCTAAAAACAAACAGGAAGAATACAATGACAGAAGGTCTGGGCCCTACCACGTAAAATATGTTCATAGATGCCCGGAAATGCACTATTCTGCATTCTTTAACTTTTTACAAGTTATTTTATTATACAGTATTACCATGCTACTTTACGATTACAGAAACGTGCTAACATAACAGACGAGGTGATAGCAGGGAGGATTTTGAAAGGGGGGAGCCGTTATGCGAATACGTATGACCCCGGCGGGGTCAAGGGGGCGAATCCCCCTGTGAAGTAGCGCACTCTGAACGTTCTTAGGACTGTTTGAGAGGATAAAGTGAAAATTGCAATAGACGCATTATAAATAAGCGAAAAAAGTAATTATATAATAAATCAGCAGTGGCAGATTCAGAAATTCGAAAGAGAGGTGAAACAGGGACTCAGGGAGGGACTTTCACAGACCAAGGAACCACCCACCTCAGCCCCAACATCATTTATGATTAGGGCATCTCTAGATGGCCGGAAATTACACTCTCGCACTTCAATTTGAATTTATTTTAAGGGGGACCACCTCTGCTCAAAACATTCTTTATCCAGAATAGTCATAATCACGAAAAATGGACGTGAAAAACCAGGTCACATCCTAAAAACAAACAGCAGTCTCTAAGACATACATCAGGAGCCGACTCGATGGAGTTTAATGTCATACCCAGGGAAGGGCACAGATCTGTTTTGAAAGGTGGAGGGGAGGGCATTTTGTGAGTCGACACCCACCCCAGCCCCACAATGGTTGGAACTGAGGTGAGAAAATTTGAGGAAATAGTACATCTAGATGGCCAGAAATGACACTTCATCATCACATTACCATTAGTCAAAATGAAGCGCCAAAAAAAATTCTCATGATCTTTTATCAGGGATTTTTGACAACCATAGAGATCTTATTAATGTGTTTGTGTATACCATAGAAAACAAAGCTTAAAAACATTGTCTTTGAGTATGTACTTTACATAGGTCTACTTCAAAAACGTGGTTTCACAACCACCTCAGCCCCACCACGGCTGGGGCTGAGGTGAGAAAATTTGAGGAAATAGTACCTCTCGAGATGGCCGGAAATGACACTTTTATATAGTAAAATTCATCATCATCACATTACCATTATTGTCAAAATGAAACGCTAACAAATTTCTCATGATCTTTTATCAGGGATCTACTTAATATCCAGGACAACTTAGGCCTAATTATAGCTTACTAAGCTTTAACTATATACACTACCGTATATTATGATCAAAAAATCAACTTTTTTTTCGCATTTAGCACAATTTTCTTCACTTTTTATTGTTATTAATATTAATATCAATTATTACTGTCATCATCATCATTGTTATTATTATTATTACTATTAGTAGTAGTATTATTAAACAAACATTTAAAGAAACTTGCAAAAGGATAAAAACGAAATTGAACCACAGTATCGCATTTCTATCTTAAAAGACCTGGCCTGAGATTTATGGATTTAAGATTTTTTTAAATCACGCTTAAGCCTATGTGTTCTATTAGGCCTATGTATAACGTGTACTGACGCATATTTACATGTTTAGAAGTATTCATTTTAAGTGATCCCAGGAAAGAATTTGTATTGGCTCAAGAATAAGCTTTAAAATTTCAACACTGTGTACAAAGGGGGGTGCCGCGGCTCCCCCGCCCCCTCCCTCCTGGATACGTCCCTGTAAGGGAGGGTGGTGGTCTGGGCCTTACAGAACCAGTGTGTGCTCTTCTGCATTATGAGAGGTCATAATAATGATTAAAACGTTCTATAAATTAGTTCCGATATGTATGTGATATTTTATTAACGAAATCATCAGATACCATCTGTTAATTTTCAAAAGTTTGATACTTGTATATACTGGGAGAAGCGTTTCTATGGCATTGGTGTATTAGACCTAAGAAAGAGCGAGTAATGAGTATAGCCAATACTGTCTCCCATGTACCCATCTACACGAATTGTGATCACAAACACACAAATTCTTCAAAAATGTAAAATACAGTTTATTTACAATATATTACATATAATAGAAAAAAAACTTTTGTTATGCAAATAACATATTTATATATCAATTATATATCAATATATCTTCCAATCTATTTTTGAAACAAATTTGCTCAGTTATTTATTTGGAAGTTCATCTTATGTTAATTACATATCTGAGTTTATTCAAAAATTATCAAAGGAACCAAACATCTAGTTTATCCAATTCCAATATATAATATATTCCACAAAATGAAATACACTTTAAATTAAAAGATATTCATTATAATTATTTCAAAATTCATCTGCAAGTTCTTTTAAGGGTGTCAGTCTGGTTCATCAACTCCATTAAAGCTTCTGTCCTTGGGCGAGAACTCTGATTTTCAACTCTTCAACCCAGAAATATAATTAAGTAGGCTTTACCGCACTTCTCTATTTTGAATGCATTTGGCCACACTTGACTGGGAGTACCAAGGACTTGGAATACAAGGAGCAAATAACGTTGCATGTTGTTCACAATAATATGAAGTGGGCTGTGATATTCTGTATAATGAAACGACAGTGTAAAAAACGAACGAAACGAAAAAACGTGGTTTGTGGGACACATAGGCTATGTTCTCACACGGCTGCTAACGGTCAGCAGGATCCGGATCCTGCTAACTGTTAGCTGACGTGTGTCCATACGGGAAAATCCCAATCCGGATACAAAAAATATGATCGAATCACTGGCCAATAAGAGACTGGAAATTGTAAACGCGTACGTGTGATTGGTTGATGATAAAAACGCGCTCAACTTGCTAACCGATAGCGCTTGCTAACCGTTAGCGGTATCCGGATTGGGCGTTGTCACGCAGGGGCTAACAGTTAGCGCTAATGGTTAGCTCCCGATCCGGATACAAGGACTCTCGTGAGAACCAGGCTTGTGTGTGCTTGTTTGACTAATGCATATTCCTGGCCCTGTTCTAATTGGTCAGTTGTTGCCCTGTTCTGATTGGTCAGTTGGTAAGTCAGATTGACACTGTGGAAAGGTCAATTGTAGAAGCCTTCAATGTGCTTCACAATTTCAACATTGCTATCCACAAAATTCATTTTGATTTATTATTGTGCCCTAAGTATAGTGATGGTGGTTACCTATTCATCTTTCAAATAAATGTTCTTAACATGCAAACGTGACAAATATGAGCTACATTGCTCTCTGATACCAATCTGATTGGTAACAAAATTTGATTCAGTTATTGCTTGCAACGTAAAATATTTTGGAGTGTCCAATCAGACTGGACCTATGTAGTTGGCACAAAGTCAATGTATTCTATTCTTGGAGTGTGGTTGTCTTGCCTGGATCTATAAATTGTTTTATTTGAAGAAATGTTTGTAATTACATACAGAGTCCAAATAAAAAAAATGCTGCTGCTAAAATACTGATGAATTTCATAATTAAATCAGTATTGCATGATTTCGTAGAAATATTATCAACTATTTTTGAGTTCTTAACCCGCTTGATGAAGAAATATGAAGCGATTTAAAAGTTTTGGAATAGTTTGACATTATTACCTAATATTTGATGAATATAATAAAAAAAATAATAAAATGAATGTTATAACCATCTTCATGATTAAACTGAGATTGTGATAGAGAAATAATGAGTAAACTTGTTAACCAATAACAAGATGTACTGCAAGAGGTCCGATTGCCAGGGTTTCGTTGGAGCACAATTGTATACTCTTTGCTTCAAATCACTAGGTTCTGAGTCAAAATCGTAGATACACATTTGTTCCATATAATACACTTCGTAAATTCTAGATAATGTTAGTCTTTTATAAGATTTAAAAATGTTGTTGCATTCTGTTTAATTTGGAAGAATAAGAAGCTTTTCAGCAAATACAAATGACGTGGCAATCCACATGTGAAGCACGCCATCCGTAGACCAATAAACTCTTCATTCAGCAAGCTTTTTTGTAGTTTTTCTACATTGGTACCACCAGATTTCACTCAATGTTCATCCTCTTCATCCTTTTGCACATTTCCTTCTTAAAAAATTTTTCAATCACTGTCTGATCCAGCTGCTACAGTGGATTTCTTCCTTTTCTTTGGTTTAGGTTTTGTAACCTCTTCATTCTAAAAGATATATTTTATTTGCATCAAATTTAGATTTAATTATTTAAGTTATATATTAAGCACAGGACATAGACTGTCAATGCACTCGGGGGTGGGGGGTGCCACTAAAGCAGAAGTTGCTGATGATGCTTATGTTGTTTGGTGACATGCATACAGATATTCAACTGATGTTTTTTGAGATGTCAATGTGCAAATCAAGAAGCATCGGACTCAACCCATGTCGAATAAAAAATAACAACAAATTTTATAGAGGGTGACCTCTCCAACTTACATTAGAAGGAAAAGTAAAATGATAATGATAATAGGGGCATTGTGGATGCTTTTATAAACTAAGGCTTAGAGAGTGGAGATGTTATGCAGTTGTGAGGAAAAATTCCTGTGATCTGACAGGATTTGAGCCTAGGACCATGGAATTGGAAGGCAAGCATCTCAACAACCAAGCTACATCCCCACTCCAAACCTATATATTGTAGAATATTAGAATTGAAAGATACACTATTCTGATTGGCTAGTTTTGATCACACATTACATTTACCTCCTCTGAATCTGATGAAGAGTTATCATTATTGGAAACTTGTTTTTTATTTCTTGGACTTGTAACGCCTGGTGAACGACGTGTGCCACGCCCACTACGTGTTGATCGACTTGAGTCTTCAATGAAGTCTACTAGTGCAAATAGGTCACTGTATCTAAAATTTTAAAATTTTTTTTAAATTTTGAAAATTTAAAACTGGAAATCACATGCAATTCTTCATTTAAATTCCATTTTCATCCAACAAGTAGTTTAAATTCTATTGGACACTTTTAACATGTAAGAATTACCATAGAGAAAATAGAACTGTTTTTTAGTCCAATGTGAACTGACTGACTTGGTTAAACCTTTTTGAGTATGTGCTAACACATATGCATTGTGAACTTGTCATTGAATGTATTCATAACTGATTAAATCAAATTTGAACAGCAGCACAATTTGACTAAAAGTAGAGCTATTCATTGACCTGGTCAAAATGAATCCACTGTGAAAAAAGCTTTGTTTGACATGGTAGGTTAAAAAAAAACCATGCAAAAATAGAATTGACACAGAATTTGTAAGCAAGCATCCTAGAATTAAATACTTACTTTGTTTTTTGTGCATCAGTACATGCCTTTTGAATATGTTGCAAACCCTGCAATACTGGTTCTTGGCTAAAGACTGCAAGAATTACAAAATAAAAAACAAAGATAATTGAAACTATAGTATTTAGGTCTTTGATTTCAAGAAACTTATTTGTAGTAGCAGTAGCAGTAGTTCTTTATTTACTCTCATAAAACAGAGACCAGCCAAATCTGACTTATGAGTGAAACTGTACATATTACAAAAATAGCAAACTACACCATTTTAAAAATGTTACATGTGCCTAACTCAAGTTATGGTTTAAAAATTAAAATGAAACAATAACACAACAACAACAAAAAATTGGCAAGCCTTTGAGAAATTAATTCAACTATCATTAATATATCAACGACTGTCACGTTAATAATAAATAAGCTTCAAAGAAAAATAAACTGTCACTTAAATACCACCATGGGTAAAATATGTTTATTCTTAGGATGGTGATAAACTGAGCACAAACTTACACATTGTCTGTCGGATACCTGCTGCCTGTCTGAGTGCATCTAGATGGGCCAGGATCTGTGGTGGAGTTGGGTTCTGAAGCTTAGGATTGGTTCTAAAAATAACATAAAGACAATTAAAAATCTCTAATTACGATATACTAATATCTCAGGATACCAATTATGAAATACCACACCAAAAATCCCTGAATAGTTGTTGAGATACAGGGTTATACCAGTTCCCTGACAGGTTGGAGACCTGAGCGTAGTTACCATTTCTCGATGCTGGTGATCACATTCATGAGTGTCTTGGTTTGCTTACCTTTGTCTTATTCGTTTGTTTGATGTGGTTGATCGCATCATGAGCGTCTTGGTTTGCTCTGCAATGTGCTGTTCATCTTGTATAATCCAATTACAAAGAATTGCTGTTGCAAATCGATCGCCGTTTTGACCGACGCGACACAGCACAGGCCTCAGAAAGTCCAACGTACACCTATAATGCATATTTTTAAATTATTATATAAAAATGTAAATAACAGGTTTATTGGTCAATTCATAATTCTCATAATGTTCCTTATTATGGTAGTTATTTTTTTCTAACTAAAAATACAACTATCAACCCAAGTGTAGACTAATGATTATTGAGTGTTAAAATATTGATTGAAGCATCCCAACTTTATCTATACGATATCATTTAATAATTTCTCACTAAACAGAGATATCTAAGGAAGAATTTTAGTCCCAGTCTTTAATATGAGAGATTCTAACAAACAAAAGCTCCTGAAGTCCACTTAATACCCCCATCTCAAAAATGGTCATTAATTAACAGCTAATTAATTTTAAAATTAATTTACTTACCTTTCAAGCTTAAGCATCAGTAAAATACTAGCCAAAGCTTCAGGGTGATCTAAAGTAAAAAAAAGAAAGAAAGAAAGAAATATTGGATCATAAAGGTGGTCTTTTCAAAATTAAAATATTATTGTTAAGTTTTTTTTGTGTTTTATAACACCTGATTTAGTTTAATTTGAATATTGTTTTTCTCTTTGCGGAACTTTGATGGTGCAGGTAAATGTGTCCTTTGAGAATGTTGACAAGCTTTGCCAGGAAGCAATTGCTGCTTTATGTTAAGCCTTTAATGTGTTGGTACTGGTCAAAAAATAAGGTGGGAAGGAAGTCAGTTTCTTTTCCCAAGGTGGACAAAAATTTAGAAATAAATGTGTTCAGCGAGGGATGTCAATCTGCTCCTTACAACAATGTTTAACCTGTAGCTTGAACAATTGATGAAATATTTACACTCCCCCACATCTCAAAATTTTGTGGTATTGGCTTTTCACCTAAAACATGTTCAGTTCTTTTATGATGTTAGTAATCTAAGGGTTCCAAGCTTTTCCCCATTAAAACTGCAAAAGGTGTGAAATGATAATATACAACACATGAAAAATTATTCATTTCTATTTACCAATTATATATATATATAAAACAGTGTCATTAAATAGAATCAGATTAGTTACTAATTTCCACTTAGGCATGGAGTAACACAAAATAAATGATTCACAGACATTGTATGACAATTTGATGCTAGAAGTTTAAGGGTACATGCAAACATATTACAGTGTTATTATTTAAACATCCTTTAAATGGACAAGGAGCATTTTTTTTATTGATTTAACTTTCAGTTGAAAGATAATACTTATTGTCTTCTGGTCCTGGTGTCCTTCAGGCAATTTTTGAAGACATAAATGGCACCATTGGGTCACTATTTTTTAAAAGTCCCTTAAAAATGTTCCCAATAATTTCTTTAAACTTTACCTAAAACACTGGCAATGATTACTTACATAATATAAGTAAAATGAAATATTGAATTCGTAAAAAAAGGAATTACACTTTAAACTTTACCTAAAACACTGGCAACTGAGTCCTTCTTGAAGATCTCCAGACAACCTTCCATGATTTCACAGATCAGATCCTGAAGCTGTGTAATACAAATGGTTACATTTTATACAAAACTACAGATGCTTCCCAAAAGACGTACAGTAGTAGCATATTCAAAGGAAAAGAATGAAATAATACAACAGACATTAGACCTCTAAAAAAATTTCCTGTCATCTAAAATATTGCTCTCATAGCTACATTATGTTTCCCTAGATCACTAGTCCTATTTTGGGTATTTAAAGAGTAATTACATTTAAGAGGCAAAAGGAATTCTTAGTATTTGAAGAGCGATTTCCTAGGAACTCGGGAGTAATTTTGTGTATTTGCATAATAATTCACTCTAGCTCCAATAGCTATTTTTGAATATCTGAAGAGCAATCAACTCTTGAGTAACAAAAGCAATTATTGGTATTCAAAGACTCAGAGATTAAGGAGAGTTTCAGGATATTTGAAGATCGATTCAATCAGAGCTTTTTCTTTTGATGTTATTTACCTGAGCTGAATCTAAGGATCCAGCAACAATGTTGAGAAGTTCAATGTTCTTGACAGTAGCATCTGGAAACTTTAGGAGATAAAAAGAAATGGATAAGAGTCATAGATATTAAGCATCTACAAACGATCTTAATAATTTATATATTATAATCATAAGAATAGAACAGAGGTATAAAACAATGTATAAAACACCTAAGTACATTGATGTAAAGTAAGTTAAATCTTGGTATAGAAACAGTCAAAAAATGAGACAACTAGAAGCTGATGTAAATTTTAAAGGTCAGAAACACACACTGTTTTGGTTCTGTAATTGAACGATTATCGTAGGAAGATCTTCTGCTTGCATTTGGGTTTTCCATGGAATATAAGCTACAATACTTACATTTGCATATACAGGTTGGATAAGATAACACATCAATCTTGGGTCATCTTCTTCGCACGTCTAAATGAGAAAAAATACAATACAATACAATTAAACACAAGCTTTCTATCTGGACACAACTAATGAGGAACACATGACAATGCAGCACAGTTAGGCATACTTAAAAGGAAGTCAAGAAAGTTATACTTTGTGCTGGTTTGCCAATGTGTGGATCCAATGAGCAGAGGTAAATAGCATTACCAGATAAAAGGCAAAATAAAAACTCCTGGTTTATGATTACGTACTAAAGTATACTTGCAATAAGTTACACAAGTCTGAAATGCAAAACGGATTGTACCAAATATACAAACTCATTGTATTTGATGACAAACAAAAATAAACTCTCATACATGACTTTATAAATTAATTGATTAATATAGCTATGGGCTTCTATAAAAAAACAAAACATTGATAACACAGCATTTCAACTGCAACCAGTGTGAGATAGCTTATGGCAGCAGGGATAAATCTGCTTCTGTAGAAGTGTTGGTAGTGTGGCATGAAGATTAGCATTGATCCTTACCTTGAAATCTTTCACTAGACATTTGGAGAGATCTTTGAGCTCTGTGTTCTTGCAGACTTCTTCATACACAGCAAGCTTATTTTCCGATGACTTCTTACTGTAATGTAACATAATGTGTTTTAATTAAACAAAATATGAGCACATTAGCCAAATATGAGCACATTTGTGGAAACGGTTTGGTTTCCCAACCTCGAGGTCGGGGTATAAGTGCTTCACTGTGCATTTCGCTTGGGTCCTTGAGCAAGGCACTTCACCTACATTTCTCCAGTCTACCGAACTGTATAAATGGGTACCAGCAAATTGCTGGGAGTAATCTGCGGTGGACCAGTGTCCCACCCAGGGGAAGCATCATTCTCATCCGCTTCACGCTGCAGAAACTACGGATAAGCTCCAGCAAGGATTTACTTTTTTTTTCTTTACTTTACTCTCACCATTTAACTTATTGGTTGGCTTTAAGGTTTACCTAAATTATCAAGTTTTATGTAACAAATACCAATAATTTGTACATATACGGGGTATAAAATATTAAACATCATTCCTATATGGACAAGTCACATATACTTGTCACAAAATGGTGACAGTATGAACAGACCTTAATACTCCAAGAAGAAAAATATATATTTTTCTTATGATTTTATTATTTTGGTTTTAGAATTACGTATATGAGGCTTACCATCCAAAAACAACCATCAGTGACCAAAAAATGAAAATTGACTTTTTAATAAATTCTTATTCTCAACATTATAAGCTTCAAAATGATGGGTCATTTACTGGAATCGATTTACTATTGTCAAAGATATGAGTAAATGTATTATGGCTTCTCTATACAATACTACCACATTCGTATGCTAATTTCTCAGTTTAACAATTAGCGACAGAACACTGTTTTTAGAATGGCACGCCTCATATATTTTATATGCTGAGTTCCTATGCCATTGTATTATTTGGCTTTTTCTGAGTCTCAAAACTGCTGGAATATTTGTGTATAAAAACATGAATATTAAAATAATCTACCGTAAATGCTTGAACAAGTGCCGTTCTCGAATAAGCACCACTCTTGAATAAGTGCCGCACCAGACCTGATATTTTTTGCTAAGCGTCGCGGCGCTTAATCGGGAGTAGGACTATATATTTGGATGAAACACTTTAAGAAACAGGGCTTCAAATACAATTTATACAGTGTTAAAATGAATAAATAACATAATGAATACACAAGCATTTCTTTATAAACATTTATTTACGGTGACGTAGGACCTATGTTAGGCCTACTGAACTACGGGAGTATGTGATGGGAACGGGCATAGAAAGTGCCACGCCCATAATTTTTTTATAAGCGCCACTCTCAAATAAGCGCCGCACTAAAAACTCCAGAAATGTTATAAGCGCCACGGTGCTTATTCAAGCGTTTACGGTAAAAGTAAACAAACCTCGCTTGCAGGAAGTAAAGAAGGTGATATCCTATTTGCTTCTGTTTTTCGTACATACAACAAACCAACGTTAATAATTCTACAGGACAGAGTTCATCTTCATTCTCTTGATTAAGATTTCTAAACAGAAAAAAGGTTTACAACGCATAGGAATTACTCAATTATTCAGATGCGTACAAAAATGTATGTCTGATCTCAACCAATGAGCAATAAAGATCATGACATTAAATGCATTTCAAAACTCATTTTCTTTTTTAAAATTGCAGGGTTCTCATCACTCTGGTCGGCGGTGGTCAGGCCCGTCCAGCACTCAACATTTCCGACCAGTATTTTGAGGCTGCCGACCACCACTATTTTTCAATTAATAGTGGGAAAAAAACGTAGGCTAACAAACAAAATACTTTTGTTATCACAACTACTAGAGTGGGGAGTTGTTGATTAACAACTCATTGGCTAGACAATGGACATGCTTGCTACATTAGATAAGACAAAAGATATCAATTAACGTCTCCTTGGCAACGTTAATTTGAAACCCTACTGCTAGACGTAGACTTAGTATTTTTGCCCTTTATTGAGCAACACATGATCAAATCGACGTCAAATCAACGCACATGGGGAAACCCCGAATTGGGTCACATGAACCGCAGAGGTTTGTTGTTCATAAATAATTGTTAAATTATAATTACTGTTTGTTAATAAACGTAATTTAAGTTGGTATGTATATCAATCATTAAATATATTACAGTATCACTGTGTTAACTTTTCAAAAACAGTGATTGGAGTTGGAAATATACCTATTGTTTTCTTTTCACTCTTACTCATGTCATAAAAGAAACATAAAACCTGAGCGAGGCTATTTATTCCCGCTCGCAGCTCTCTGTATCCACCCCATCAGTACTAATAGTACAGTAGAGTGGATCACGTGCTCACTCACATAGAACAGCATGGTCTTTCTCTCTAATCAACTGTCAATGTTGTTTTGGTTAGTGAAGACACAAGAAAATATGTTTGAATATAAAATTAACGATACTGTATTTGTTTTGACTTACTTCATTTGTGATGATTAAATATCTTACAAAAAATACATGCATATTATCCTATGCAATATGACGAACGAGGTTGTTTACTTCTTGCTCCTTTCTCCGTAGAGTGGATCACATGGTCTCTGTACAACGTGGTCTTTCTCCCCGATGTTCTTCGCGCTCGACCCGACTAAGACAGTTTGGATGTTTGTGTTGTTAATGAAGACGTGAATAAATGTATTCGAATATAATTAAAATTTTATTCACTTTGTGATGACTTAATATTGTACAAAAATACGGCTTTTAGGCCTAGAATATCTTTTTGATTTCGTGGTAATGTTTGTATTTAGCATATGGAAGGCCTGGAAGGGAATTGTTGATTAACAACTCATTGGCTAGACAATGGACATGCTTGCTACATTAGATAGGCCTGGAAGTTGTCAAGTGTGGTCATTCAAATGACGTGAGTAGAGTCGTAGAGTAAAAGAATACACATATTTCCACCTCATAATATCACTTTTATTTGATTTAATAATTCATTTAATGACTGAAATAAAACGCTACTTTTCCAAGTCAAATATGTTTAATAAAAACAGCATATGATAATTAAACAGCTACAGTACTTACCAACGTCAAACTTTGAGTCGTAACTGTTTACAAAATACATGCAAACCAATTTGGGGATTCCCCATGCGCGTTGATTTGCCGTCGATTCAACCCGTGCGTTGTTCAATAACGAGTAGAAATTCCTTTGTTTTTTTACAAATATTTGTTTTGATCAAGCTTGTATTTTAACAAAACTATCTTTGGGAATTTGATTTCCGTACACCACCGATTCATGTGCATATGCATCATTTTTTCAGTCAGAGGGGAGAGGGGGTCAGCGACCATGCCCCCCTGGGGTAGGTGTGGTCATCGACCACCACTCCAAAATGCTGGTGAGAACCCTGACTTGTTATTTTGTGGTTTTCTTAGTTGTTCACATGTCAAACCATCACCAATACTTGATTAAGACATGATTTAATAATGCATTATTGATGTTTTTACTCACCTAAAAATTACAAAAATTGGCTTTCCTATGGAGTCTTCTATTGATCTGTAGAAGAGAAGACAAAGTTTCACATTACTTTAGAAAATGCACATTTCTTTGTTTTAGACTGTCCATGACCAGTAGAAGACAACATTGGGGTTTTGGTGCATAAATATTTTAATCTCACAATCACCATTACCAGTTGTCCAAGTAGCAGTTGGCCCTCAAGTAAATATTAAATGAATTTTCAAAAATGAACTAAAGAGGGAGAGAAAAGAAACTTCTACTGTAACTTATGAACTGTTTATTTTAATGGGATTTTCCCCAACATAACTACTACTGTATCTGTAAATCACTCAAAGTTTGGTACTAAAAGAATAAAATAAATAAACAAAAATACCAGCAAGCATGTGCCTTCCAGTAGTGCTAACAATAAACCTTCTTCAAAGGAGTACTGCAAACACGGGCTAAATGCTGCTAGTCGGAGAGAACGGACTACTGTTCCGCCAAAAACTACTAAAGAAAAGTATGTATAATATGGAAAAATTCAATGTTCATGCTTACTCTTCATTGATATCTTGAGGAAGTAATTCACTTGTAAAATGGGTCTTGTACAGAGTACAAAGAAACATGGCTAGGGGTCCTGCAGTATCAGCATCAAAGGAATCCTATAGGAAAAATATGAAAGCATGAGCTTTACTAAGCGTATAAATGTATATAAATCTGAGCACTCAAGCCTAGGCATTCACAGCAGCCCGAAGTGATTCTATGAAGGATCTCCAGACCTTTTAAGTGTTTGAATTAAAATGCTGGCTCACTTCTAAGTCACAGTAGAAATTTTTGTACATTTCTTTCCTGTGCAGAGGGGCAACTTTCCTTTATGCAAATGTATTAAGATAAAATGTCAAACTTACTGTGTCAAGGATGACACTACACAGGTTCTCAATTAATTCACACTGCCTTTCCATGTCTGTATCCCTGTTGTCAGAAAATAAACAATTACTTCAAGATGGATAAGTGGTGCAATAATCATCAGGATAAACAGGGCTATACTAAGGACAGTTTAACAAAATATTTTCATAAATTTATGAACATATTTTTGTTCACACATGTATGTATGATTGTGTTTTGTGTATTAACCCTTTCCAGTCTGCCCCATTACCATTGCCTGAGACTGTACCAAAGCTGAGAAATTACATCATCTATACTAAATGTCGGGTTTTTACTGGGGGCAGGCATTTTATTTGGTCTAAATACAGGAGGCCCTCTACAGAAATACTCCTACATCACTCTCAAACAATCCTCCTATAGAGGGCAGCCTAGCTATAAAAAAATGATCATGAAATCTATACAGGGCGTACGTACAACGCCCCTCGCTATAAAGTATGGTCAAAGAGGGATACGTCGCGACGCCATACGACTGGAAAGGGTTAAATATCTGTGTTAACACTCTTCCTACCACACACCCTCTACTATACACGTCTTAGAAATAAGCTCCAAATTACAGTATCACTCAGTTCTGCATAAATACAATACATTATAAATTTCAAAGTTAGTTACCTTTGTTCATAAAGCTGTTCACAAATATCTTTCAAATTACCATCAATTTGTTCCAAATACGACTCAATGTCAACGTTATCCTCCTCCTCTTCTTCATTTATTGGACGGAAGGTCATTTCGTCCACCTTACAGTTCACTAACAAAACAATAACAAATTGAATTGTATTAGAATTTACTTTAATAAATAATAAAATTTAATAACAATTAACAATGACTATAAAACAATATACTGTAATATATATATAATATATAATAAATACTGTACTGTATATAAAAATAATGTTTTGTCAATTGTCAATTTTGAGCAATTTTTACTTCTCTTTTAAAATGCAATCTTTTAGATCCTAAACTTTATAAATCTTTGAATGTATGTTTGCTTTGCTTGTATGTAATAATAAGAATGAAAATAATATCAAAAATAATAACAATAATTACATAATGATAATGGAAATTATAGTGCAATGAATGAGTATTTATTTTCTGCTATTGTGTTTTCTTTGTGAATTTTTTTATGCCTTTTAAAATTCTGTAAACATATTTCACCATTTAAGTTTTTAAACTGCAAGTAAATTTTGTGTGATTTTCGATGCTTGTGTTTCATGAATAAAGATATCTTGATATACATATATATATATATACATATATATATATATATATATATATATATATATAGATGTGTATAAGAGACAGAAATATGACATAATACTGTATATAATATATGACAACTTTAATAAATATTGAACATAACAATATAAGACATTAATTTGTGCTGTTCATACTTCTTTCATCCTCCTCCTCATCACTAAATTCTGGTACTGTCTCTTCCTTGTGGTTTGACTGGGCTGCAGTATCATCATCTTTCTGCATTGGTTCTCCAGCATCCAGAGCTGCTGCTGGTTCTTTGACAGCTGGTGGTGCTTCAGAGACAAGAAGATATAAAAGACAAATTATAATGAAAATTCTCAATACTATTACTTGTTTAAAAATTTGAAAAATAATACAAGAGAGCAGCTTAGCTCAGTCGGCTAATCTGGTGGTAGCCGCTGTGTCTGCGCTGAACCGTGGAGATCTCTAGGTCCCCGGTTCAATTCCCATTGCTGCCTCTCCTTGTGTTTCAGCTAAAGGGCTGAAATACAAGTTACAATAGTAGCCGTTGGTCCCGTGTGTATTATGGCCCATGTGCATGTTAAAGAACGCAGTACACTCTTCGGGAAAGAGTAGGGGATGGTCTCCCGGTGTACTGCCCAATCACCACCAGAAGGACCCCACTGGAATAAGTCCTCTTCTAGACTTTCGTGGGCTATCCTTTGTGTTTACACGGAATAAATCCATCCATCCATCCATCCATACGGCTCATGTAAAAAATTTTCAATTACTAAAAAAAAAATAATAAATTTACTTATAGGAAATATAATAGATTTTAATATAACTTCTTACTTTAATTATTATAAGAATATAAGTTTTTATTTAAAATATTTGATAATAAATAACAATAAAATCTCATATTAAAAATATTAAAAAAAAAGCTTGAAATGCATTATATAATAAACACAAATAGTCAATAAACCATATAACTTACTCTCTGGTGTACAAAATTCTGAAAAGTTCTCCCTAATCATGGACCGCAGCTCTTTATCCAATTTAGAGTTATCAAAAAGCGGTGATAGTGATCTGTTAAGAACAAATTCAAATTCCAGATTATAAAGAAGTTGAAATAATATTTATAATATAATTATTATATTACATAAAATGACAAATTACTTACGAAAGAACTCTTTTCTCTAGAATGGCTCGTAGGGAATTAAAAACCCCTTGGCGAATTTGAGCTTCTAATGGTGGGTAAAAATTGGCAATAATCTGTGAAGAAAGCAGATAAAAGCTATTATTGTGTCTGATAAAATTTGACCCTCACTTGCATAAAAATTCTTTAAAACATTTGACCAATGACATTCTCTGTAACATTAACATAAAACTCTGTCCACATTATAAAATTAAATGTTACAAATTGTGTTAAATATGATGCATGAATAATGATGTCATCATGCCCATATATATGGGTGAACTACAAATATTTTTTCACACAATATTTGAGCATTATTCATAGTCAAAGGCAAATTTACATCTAATTTTACAATATCTACATCAACAAACATACAACACGCAGGCTACTTCACTGCAACATGTTGCCTACAGACGTTGAGTTTCCAGTACTGTAGGCAATGAGCAACCCTGTTGGACATTAGCAGCTACAGGGTGCTCAACTAGCCCAAAATTAGGAGCATCAATCCCAGTAGATTTAGTTGGATCAGCAAATTACTATTTTTTTTAAAACAATTACTTAAGTGGTACCCAACAACAGACTATCCAAGCTTTGTAAAACAAAAGGAGTAGAGTTGAATAGCTGAGTGGTTAAGATGCTTGCCTTCTAGTCCCAGGGTCCTGGGTTCTATTCCTGTGACAGTAGGACTTTTTCTCATGACTAAAAACAACTCCACTCCTCACAAAAAGACTTTGCTGATATTTTCCCCGACCTCCAATGCTGATGTAACAGTTAACCAACCAAAGGTCCCATTCATACTACAGGCTAGAAAGATAAAGTTTCTGGGCCACAGACCATAATGAAATTCACAGCATGGAATTAAAACCTTGGGTCAACCTCTGGGTCAACAGCTCATTAGGATGTGCATGAAAACCAAAGATACTAGAAACACAAGATAGAGTTCTCCACAGAAAAAAAATATTCCACCAAAATGCATGGTGGGAAGACAAACAATGGGGCGCCGCATACGGCTGGATCTAAAAAACTTCTGACACTGTTACATAATTGTGAATACATAACCGCCTTTTGCGGAGGTTAATACAAACAAGTATGCATAAATAAATTAAAACAATAAAATGATAAAACACAAAAGTGCAGAATCGTATGGCCGGACCCTGATTAGTGATAAAGTTTTCGTCCATTAGTTGAAAAAAAAAAGGGCGTTGTGTGCGTCTGGATATACCTAGCAACAGAAGGGCGCTCTGTATGTCTGGGCCAAGTATAGAAAACTTACATTATAAAAAGAAAAGGGCACCGCATATGTCTGGACCTATTTCCACCTCATTTTTGCTATGCGAGTGCTCTATCTTGCATTACTAGTATCTTTGATGAAACGAATTATAATACGTCTCTTACCCTACATAAGAAATCAAGCAGTGTGGCTGTTATTGCAGGATGTGATCGCATTGAATGATGCATAACAAGAATTGCAGGTTCTGAAATGGAATAGAAAAAATATAACAAATTAGAGAATACAATTATGGCATACAGACTAATTATACAATTTAACTGAACACCAGTTAAATTGGAATGTGTTAAAAAAAAGAAAATCTATCATATTACAGAAGAACCAATTTCAATATCAAACTGAATAATCTACTTCCATTGAATAAAATTACTTTCGATAAAATATTCATAAGGGAAAGCAAAAGAGGATAAATTATTTATAAGCTAAAACAATAATTAAAACCAAGCTACATCTGAAATGTATTGTTTAAAAAAAATTGTCTATTAATAATTCTGGCAGAATTAACAATGTTTTACACGTAGAGAATCAGTGCATTTAACTGCACTTGTTCAGATTCCACTTCATTAATCAGAGTTTAATACTGCTCTCTCGGATATATTATCTGTGTCCCTGACACAATACAGTACTTTCAACTGCTATGTTCTTCAGGCTGAATCAAAAAGCAGTCAGTTGTACTGAGACATTTGAATATCATAAGGATGCAGCCTTACCTATATCCATGATATTTCCTTTTGGTGAGCTAAAAACGAGCCAATCATAGAACAGAGCTAACTTGGCACTCGACGCAGCTACATTGGACTGCAAGATGTAATTATATGGTAAAAAAAAACAAAAAAAAACCAACATAATTAACCAGCTTATGTATACAAATATTGTCAGCTATATCTGACACTCTGCCAGACTGATAAAATGATCTATCGGTCTCACTCTAACTGGTAAAATTAATTTAATGTTTTTAAATTGATATCAATGTATGCATTGTATGCGTTTTATATAACAAATTTAATGTTTTCTTGAAGGTTGTAAATGTATGTTCTCATGAACAATGGGAAAATAAGGCTTTAAAAAAAAACCAATATTTCGTAAAATTAAATATTATCAAAGCTGGTAGCGTCAGTCAACGTACATCGACTACCATCTTTGGAGAGCGTAACAATCACACACAACAAAATGCATAACTCTCATTCTATCCTCATTACAATAAAATAATATGAAATATGCGATATATACTTACAGTACATGTGGTGAGTAACCAACCAATTACAGCCCATCTTTGTATGACATCTGAACACAAGATGTCATTGGATGGATGGACAACTCCGCAGATGTAGCGAATCAGGTCACATCGCAGTGATTGGCTCTCGGGTGTTGATAAGTACTGTGTATTAATGAATACAAACAGATTAACTTGTTTTCCAGGACACAGAATAATATTTTCACCATGTATGGTTGGTAGTTACAAGAAGTTCTATTTTTTAATTTGTGTTACTGTTATCAATTGAGAGAAGTGGCAATAGTTTGTATATTCAGATAAAAATTAGCAAAGTAGACAAATGACCATATCAAATTTGGTACATGATAAACAAGGGCTTAGCCAGCGAGCCGTCTGGCCATTTTTTGGTTTCTGGTTATAATTAATTCATAAAATACCATAAGCAGCAGATTTGTTGTTTAGTTAAATTTTAATAGGCAACAAAATATAGTAGGCCTAGGCCTATAGTACATCTCTTGATTGGAGGACCTAGAGTAGAATTTAGACTAGACTACGGCGAGAAATGAAGAAGCATCTGCATAGCCTAGAAAGATAATGCCGTGGGCAGTCTACGTCTATAACTAAAATATCTTTGAGATAGCGAATTCAACACTATTCCTTTGAAAACAAAATTCCAACATTTAAACACCTTTCAATGCACTCTACTGGGGCTACACCCCTGACTTGTCACTACGTGACAAGTTCTTATTCTTCCGTTTTGGACGGCCTATTTCCTTTTTCTGGCTAAACCCGACTTCCCCTCTCCCTTTATCTTATTTATATTTCATTTTTTTATTGTCAAAGATGTGGATTAGTCTTTCACTGAGTGAGTCTGTAATGAAAGGGACCAAATGAATTTAATATGGTTTGAACAGAAAAATTATTAGTAACAGTTTTGGTATATATTTAACTTCCTTTAATAGTTAATAAAACATGAAAGCTGTTTAGGAGCATAATATATATGGTAAATCTTTGACTGTTTATCATGAACCTGACAACAGACTTTAATAACGAAAATGACACAGAACCTGAAAAAAATATTCTTAAAATAATTACCTGTTTCTGAAACCAGTCCTGATATCGTTTTTGTTGACCAAACTTTACCTTTAAAATAAATATATTATCAATGTTAACATCTCATAAAAATGAAAATGTGCAATTTGCAATATTCAACATAAGTTAGTCCAAGCAAGTACTAAGAAATTTGCTTTGCTCCACCCTTGATCTATGATCCAATAAAACAGAATAATTGTAACCAAGATCAACATAAGGTAAACATTGGACTTGATTGTTTCTTCTTTTTCCTTTTGTCATCATCTCAGTTTTCAAAATGTTACTGAGCTGAGAAGTACTTGACTGGCTACCAAAGTAGTATCTTAATTGATCTTAATCGCTGGCTATCTATTAGTAACTTGTACACACAGCCAACTCCTCTGCTATGCAAAGAAGAGATGTTGATTGGCTGTACCCACAACATTCATGTGAATGTAATGCCAATGTTGATGCACCATGCCCAGGAACATACCAGTGTATATGGTCAATGTACTACATTGAAATTATAGTACAAATACTTAACCTTACCTTTGAGGTTAGGAAAACAAGTTTCTTCTCCATGTCTGGTGTTAGTCTACATGCCAAGTACTTAGGGGATGTCCTTTGTGACAATAATTGCATTATTCCTACGAAATAAAATATAGGCAAAACTCATTATTGTTACCACTCATTAATGTTATCCATATTCTTAAATTAGCCCAACGGCCAATGTGCTATGTCCAACCCACATGTGATATTTTCCCCATCTGTTCCTATCAGTCTCAGTATTACTGATTAGTCTCAGTTACATTAATATCACACTGTTAATATCATATTTATTATAGAATTATAAAAAATATTTAGTATAAAATTGTGTATTGGATTGCACAACATGGTAGTGTTCTTTCAAGCTTGTAAAAGTCCACCATATGGCTTGCTTGCTTTCTAACTATGAATGAAACCTGAATCTGATGCACATGGCTAATTCAATGATTGCAATTCAAATAAAACATATGATGTATTTTTTTTAAATTTTAACTAACTATTCTAATATATTCATTGTGAATCTATAATGCATGAGAATTATTGATTGTGTAATTAACCATCTCCAACATAAATACACTCATGCCTGGGTACAGTCAATATAGAACTAATTTCTTCATACAATATTCATAAAAATCAGCATTTTCATCCAACAGCAAGATGTAAATAATGCTTAATAAACTAAAGATGTGTTCACACTGGAATTTTTTTGACCAAAATGAAAGGTGAATTTACCTACGCTAAATCATACTGTTCTTCCCAAATAACTTATAATAAAATATTCAATGGGTTTTACTGAAACCATAGTGTGATTCCACAAAAATAGCCATTCAAATTTTTGGACATACCTGTAAACTGTGGGTTCGAGCTAAGGGTTTGAGGACTATGTAAAATCTCTGTCCAGAGTTTTTCAAATTCTGGTATCCTAGCAACATTCTGCAAGAGCCTCAGTAAATCTCGACCAATCCTACAGCAATCTGAAAACTGTAGATCACATGAAATAAAATCCGATGAGTATGTAGCATTAAAAAGCCATCACCATTACATGTTTATCAGCATACATTAAACAAACATCATGATTATTGCGCTCTCATTTCTGCTTAAAGTTTACCAGAAAGAGGACAAAAAACAGAGCCATTTTTTTATGCTTCTCCCCAAATGTTTGAACTCTCCCAATATTCACATCCAGCATGCAATGTTAAGGTATTTATATCACTCCCTAATACTCCCTTTTATCTTGAATTCTCTTTTTGGCAGAACACTATTTTGATGATTATGGAGAAATGGCACTAACAGTTCCTTACAAAATACAACATTGCTTCCTCTGTAGGAGGCCTACTGTCACTTGGATACCTGCAATAATATCGCACCAAGAAAGCAATGTATACTTGATGTTGGTGGTAGAGACATGATTGACCAATTGTCTGCATATGTATTTCTTTTAAATTTAATCATTTACTTTTCCTTATTGACTTTGAGGTTGTTTGTATGAGGTGCTATTTAATTCTGGAAGAATTATTAACTGTCATTATACTACTATTATACTAATAGTCACTAGCTCTGCTTTCACTCATTATGTTTAGCACTGCAAGCTGACACTGTCTTCATCATCATTTAATACTTACCTTTGATCTAAGTAGTGAGATGCAGAAATCAACTTCTCTTTGTCTAAGTGGAACCAGCATGGGGCTACTATGGTCCTCAATTATTCTTAAATATGTATACAATGCCATGTTTGTCAATACTGGATACTTGTCCAACCATGCTCTAGAAATATGTAAGTATTAGAAATACAAATACATAAAATAATTGGATAAACATATATTTAATAACAAAAATCAATGGTGATGCATATTTGTAGCACCTCCAAATAAGGGTATATTTCTTCATGACCTTAATTGGAAGGAGTTTGGTTGAGATCATTTGCAGTAGCAGTACTAACTCTTAATATTAAAGTAGCATAAAATAATAGTACTGTAATAATAATAATAATAATAATAATAATAATAATAATAATAGTACTGTAACTATACATAACATGTATACTGTCATCACCACTATGCACTTAAAGTAACATATAAGTCAGTTAACCCAAAATATTCATGAAATAAAGTTGAGGCACAAGTAAATGTTGGAATTTCCATAGGGGCTTTGGCTAATGTAAATCTAATTACAGTAGATGTTATTAACTACACTCTGCTGTTTTTTGTTTAAAAAAAATATATATAATGACTTAGTTTAAGCCTGTATTAATGGACCTTTCTGGAGTGTCAATCAAACTTATCAACTGACCAATCAGAACAGTCACAGGAACATGTGCATTTACTACTAGCATATTTGTTGTCCCACAAATGCACATGTTCACGTATGTATTAACACTGTTGTGTTGAGGGACCTTTGCAACAATATCCAAGGGGTAAGGTCCATTATTCTAAAATGGAAACTAATCACTTTAGTTACTCTCCTTTGACCCCTGACCTGAGATGTATGTGGTACTGCCAAAGACATTATGGAGCTTTTGATTTGCGCAACGACACGACGCCAGAACGGAATCATTCATATGTGACTGTCCTACCGGGCGTCCTACGTTCTCTGCATAAGTAGATTTGGCCAAATTGCGTCCTAAGAATCCACGCGAAGTGGAGAATTTAATGTTCTCGCAAGCGCAGATGACATTTAGTAACGCAATTACGTTCCACGACCTACCATCGTCGTGCAACGTGCAATCGAAAGCTCCGTAGTAACTTCAATCTCTCTAAACATGCTTTGAGAACGACTCAGTTGTACATGTGCAACTGCTTACCTCTTTTCAGTAAATATATCTAGAAGGTTCTCTGCCAGCCATACATTCTTAGGACTAACATCTCCACCTGTGACATGAAATATGCAAATGAAAATTAATGCATGTATAAACAATTGTGTTTACAATCAAATAAAAAAAATTAATAAAAGTCTGGTAAAAATGAAACAATCTAAACTCATCATTAGTAAAAACAATGACCACAAACTGTTCATTTCGATATAAATCAGAGTTGATAATATTAGTATTAGTATAAAAATTGTGATGTGTTTTCTTAACAATATAGTGGAATATATTTTAGACACAAACTGGCATTCAGTGACATTTATAGCAATCATACCTCTTACATAGATTCTAGGCATCTGATTGGTTAAGAAGCGGGGCAATAGAAAGTACTATTCCCCTAAAAAAGTACTATTCCCCTCAAAAATAGTACTTTTTCGAGTAGTAGTAGTAGTAGGCCTAGTTTTAAAGATCTTTGCTAGTATGCCTCTAATATAACAGTCTAGGAAGTAAGTACATTTTTAGGCCTCTTAGAATCTATGTATGAGGTATATAAAACAAATATTGACTGCTCTATATTCAGGGAACAGTGAAATCTATTGGCCCTCGATGATGTGGAGACCGTAGCCTATCCTCCCTCGGGCCGCTGGGGAAGATAGGCTACGGTCTCCACATCACCTTGGGGCAATAGATTTCACTATTCCCCTCATGAGCAGTCAATATTTGTATAATATTTATTGTAACAATAATAAATAACAATAATCATAAATATTTGAATAGATTTATCTGGTTTGCTTATTATTGTTGTAGAACTGTTTTAATCATTAATACACCAAACACAACAACATCCAACCATTGTGTTTGGTTTATTGATGATTAAAACAGTTCTACAACAACAATAATCATTATTAAACTAAAAAACAGTAGTAAAAAAATTATTTCCCTCATGCAATAAGTAACGCAGAAGTTATCATCCCATTCAATTTTTTGGATTAGTGTCAGTCAATAGTAATTCATTTTTTAGTATCAATTAATAGCAATAACAAAAATATTTAATAGTACTAATAACAAAAACAAAAACAAAAATACAATAGTAATGATGTAGTAAAGAATTATACCCACCAGCAATTTGCTTTATTAATGAAGAACAGACATTATCCACTCCAGTGACCCCGTTATTGACCATTTCTTTGGTGTACCAGACGACTTGTGTCCTTGCCGACTCTACCAACTTTGGATATCGTTCAATAATAATCTGATTCAACCTTGCCCATGCCGTCGCCATGCCGTCACGCGACACAAGCGTCAAATCCCGGTATGACTACAAGCAGAAAAGAAATGATTAATGTTTGATTAAACGGATGGATAAAAAAAAAAAGGTCAATCAGTTACACTTAAAATTCAATTCAATTTCTATTTGAAATGTCAATGTCCATGTCAAAACAAATACAAAGCAAATGAGATTGAAATAGAGAAATATGTATGTATACACTTAGGCATTTGTCTCAGGCTTACAAACATATTAATTTTGCTATTAAGAAACCTAGCTAATAATATTTAGAAGAAAATTTATTTGGATATCATTTGTTTACCACATGAGCTATGTAGCCAATGATGGTACACTTTTAAATCAAGGATGTTTTTTTACACTATATTTATAGAGGGTCACCCTTCCAGCTTAGCTGATATTCTGGGCCCTCTTAAATAAACAAAATAAAAATTACAATAAGATGTCTTATAAACCAAGTCTCATTGAGAGAGCAGATTAACTCAGAGAGAGCAGATTAGCTCATAAGAGAGCAGATTAACTCAATCTGCTAACCTGGTGGTAGCCACTGTGTGGGCCCTGAACCGTGGAGATCTCTAGGTCCCCAGTTCAATTCCCATTGCTGCCTCTCTTGTATTTCAGCTGGAGGGCTGAAATACAAGTTATAATACCGTACCATTTCTAGGATGAGACGTTTAATCCGTTGGTCGTGTGTGCATTGATGGCCCATGTGCATGTTAAAGAACGCAGTACACTCTTTTGAAAAGAGTAGGGGATTGCCTCCCGGTGTACTGCCCAATCACCACCAGAAGGACCCCACTAGAAATAAGTCTTGTTGATTACACCGAAATAAACCCATTACAATTTCTTAGGTACTGAATGATGTTTTTTAGTCGCGCTAGAAAATCTTGTGCAGTCACAAGATTTGAACCCAGAACCCTGGCATTGGAAGGCAAGCAACTTAACCACCAAGCTTCATCTCCACTATATTTTCTCCAGAAGGATGGATCCAATTAGAAACAAAACTCTCACTACATACATTTCATAAGTGCTACGTTTACATCCTTAATTAGACTATAAATGTAAATGAAACTCGTCTAGATAGGCCTAAAAATTTTTCTATTAAATGTTCAGTTTCTTTAGGTTATTTGGGTCTCTCTCCACCCAGGAGTTGAAAACTTATATCCTACCTTGGACGCTGCTGCAGGATTTGTTAAAATGCTATACAGAAGGCCAAGTGTTATCTCCTCGTGTTGCTGCATACTTTTACAAGCCTGCAATAAAATATAAAACACTGAAATATTAATAGGTTTCTTGAACTGGGAGTATTAATAATACTATCAGATTTTTTTCCCTCCACAGACAAATGCTTGTTATGATAGTCATTTATGCTAAGGTCTAATGGTTTTTTATTGTCAATCGAATCTTGTATATATTTCTCCCGATCCCGATGCTTTAGACAGAAACAATGCAAAATGAAAACATTTTGATTATACTTAGTTTTTTTTAGCCATCTAATGACCTTTTTAAAAATATATTTTGACTACAAAAATGTCGTCCTAAGCTCACTAAACTGAGCTGACAAAGGTAAAGAAATACATTTTTTGACAATGGAATATTAATAGAAAAATTTTCATATTCCTCTACTTTGGCATGTGCTCTCAGACTCTGCATACAATATTATTAATAAAAAATAACTTCCTTCTCCTCTGACAGATTTGGCTGATTCCAAACTGAATAAATTTAAAATGTTTTTTTTTTTCCACTGACTCTGGTCGTCATCATCACTGGCATCCTTACACCACAATTATACTTACTGCGGCATTGAGTGCATCATGAGCCTCACGCTCTGACAGATCTGTGGTGAGTTTCGTCAAAGAACATACATTTTGATTATACTTAGTTTTTTTTAGCCATCTAATGACCTTTTTAAAAATATATTTTGACTACAAAAATGTCGTTCTAAGCTCACTAAACTGAGCTGACAAAGGTAAAGAAATACATTTTTTGACAATGGAATATTAATAGAAAAATTTCATATTCCTCTACTTTGGCATGTGCTCTCAGACTCTGCATACAATATTATTAATAAAAAATAACTTCCTCCTCCTCAGACAGATTTGGCTGATTCCAAACTGAATAAATTTACGATGTTTTTTTTTTTTCCACTGACTCTGGTCGTCATCATCACTGGCATCATTACACCACAATTATACTTACTGCGGCATTGAGCGCATCATGAGCCTCACGCTCTGACAGATCTGTGGTGAGTTTCGTCAAAGACTCATATCCACGCTCCATTCTCTGTAGTAAACAAAAAAAAAAAAAAAATTCACAGTATATTATTTGATTTATTTTTATATACTGTAAACATGAAATTGCTATATTGTAATAGAGCCTATATTACAATCAGCGCTTAACTGAGAGTATATCATTGCCTGTGTGTAATAAAACACTTTGAGAAACAGGGTTTTAAATTCAAGGTTTACAGTGTTAAAATGAATAAATTAACAAAATGAAGACACAAGCATTTCTTTATAAACGTTTATTTACTATGACATAGGACCTATGATAGGCCTACTGAACTATGGGAATATGCGAGATAGGAACAATGGGATTGTATCGTATACTTGGTACATTCCCAAAAGTGATTCAGATGGGAATCAAAATTATTATTATCATATATAGGCCTAATTTACAGATTTTTTTTGTTTTTTTGTTTTTTTGGAAACATATTACATAGTTAAGTCACAAGTTAAGTCACATGACCTGATGATATAGTACTGTGACAGCTGACTGATGATTGGAAATGCTGGGTGAAGAAAAGAAAAAAATATTATTGGTTCATTTTTCTGTTTTATACGAGATTGAATATTTTCTTTGTGTTGATGAGAACTTTTTTATGTAGCGATGAATATAATCTGAAAAAATGGAAACATTCAGAATAAAGAAAAACAATAAAAAAATATCAATAAAATAATACACCCCAAATCTACAAACAAAAACAAAAATCTATAGATAGCTGATGAAAGTTTTATGTTATGTCTACTTTTCATCCATATTCTAAATATTATACACTATATACGTATCGTTAATCGTACTTAGTAGCTAGGTCAGGCCCCTACCGTAGCTATCCTAGGTCTACCTAGATACACTAGGCCTACGCCTAGGTAGTGACAGTGTGAATTGTATTCAAATTCTTATTTATAATAACAATTTTGGCCTCAAGCCTACTAATAACTTCCCTAAGAAAAATAATAATAAATATACATGACCATCAAGTAAACCAACCACATCATACATACAGTGTAACCTACAGATTACCGAGGAACTTATTGTTCCTCTATCCAGCTAGGCCGCTCTCACATGCTCCGACTGAACGGCAACTGACGCATCCTTCGCCCAGCAACTTTCATGTGTGAGAAACACTGGCCATCACATTCTGAGGCCTAGCAAAACATATGCTTTTATTTAACAAAATTAGATAATATTTCTTAATACCTCCTCGAGCTCATCCTTAGTCTCTATTATTGTTGAAATAAATAGTTTCGACTTGACTGAAGTCTTTTTTTCATCCATTTTTGGCCTTCGGAAAACAGCAACAACATTAGCATCCGCAGAACCTACTCGCTTCGTATCCAACCAACGTATGAGCCGCTGCTCAGAGAGTGAGTGCGGAAAATACAATCGTTCTGTGTATGCATGATCGGGGCGGCACTCAATGCGCGTCTATGATTGGTTGAAATTTTAGGAACCGTACCCACGAACCTTTGACATCCCCATTCAACTATAAAATCATAAACATCCCTAGCTAAAAGCATTAAAAGCATTTGTAGCTAAAAATTCCGGTGAGTATAAACATAGAATGTGCTATACTAAAAGTAAATTGCAATGATAATAAAAAAACAACGATGGCAATAGTAGTCCTACTACGTGCCAACACAGAAAGTTTGAGTTTAGATGGGGGTAATAATATTATTAAGAGGACAGGTCTGGAATGTTTGACAAATTTCGACCAATCATAGAAGCGCATTGAGTACGGCCCCGATCATGCATCGTATCGTTGTTTATGAATAGCCATCACAGTAATTTGACTGAGAAAAAATTAAAGTAACTATTTGAGTCACCCTCATCTACACTACCAAAAAGCAATAAAACTACTCGGCTTACGAAGTGCAAAGCTAAGACAAAATACGACAAACATTGGTAAAATTAATATAACAAGAAATGTTACAGGAGCTACCAATTAATTAAAAAAGTGAGATTTGGATTTCATTTACAGTAGTTGTCTCATAAAAACAGCAAGACGACAAAAAAAAAAAAAATCAAAAAAAAAAAAAAAAAAAAAAAAAAAAAAAAAAAAAAAAAAAAAAAAAAAAATCAGGGAAACTGGAAATCCCTGCAAAAAGAGATCAAATGCAACAGAAGGAGGAAATTTTCTTAATCATTTTGTCACAGCTGTTCAAATATATATAATATATATCATCATTCCATATCAAAGAATTTAGTTATATTTAATGAAGTTATAGGCCATTATATACGATTTTACCGTATCCGCCGCGTACGATCTTTGCGTGCATGCTGTAACCGTGGCTGTAACTCATTTGTTGACAACGGCTGATGCAGTTATAGGCCTATGAACTGATATATGCAAGTTACAACAACCATGGTTACAGCATGCACGCAAAAGCGGTGGATACCTACGCGGTTTTATTTGCACGATCTTTTGTTACATTTTTCGCCAGTGACGTCACGATTAAATAATATATAATGGCCTATAACCTAATAAGAAATTGCCAAAAAACGATTTTAAGGTTGATTCTATTATAAATGGCATATCAAAATTCCCCTCTAGAACAAAAAATCATTTTGCTAGTTCTCTTTTAAGTATCGCAAGTTTGCCGCCCTCTATATTAAATCGAAATAAACAAGCGGAATCGGGTTTTCGTTCATTCACTCTGAGCTTCGCTGAAACAACTCTAAATTAGTTGACAAAGCTAATAATTACACATTACAGTAATAATAACAAACAAAAACATAATTAATCTTAGTATTTTACTTAAACCTTAGTTACTATAATTTTGTATTTGTACAGTATTATCATCATCATACATAATTTATAATCATCATCACTCAGCATCGATCATCATCATCCTCATCATCATCATCATCATCGTCGTCGTCGTCATCATCATCATCATCATCATCCATCATTATTATCACTCTTATTATTATTATTATTATTATTGTTCTTATTATAATAATTATTATAATCTGGAAAACTAAAATGAACAAGGTCATCTACAGTGTTCAGTATTATAAGGAGGACTTATTACATATTAAATACGGTATAATATTTAGTTATTAAATATAATGTCGTGTTGCTCAGACTTGAGTCAAATGGATATAAGCCTAAGGTGCTCAACCCGGGACTCAATCGGACTTTGTACACCAAGGCAATTCAACACAGTCCCATGGAGAAGAGAGAGCTAAATTAGGCCTATGTAATCACGCCTTATGTATTGCCCCATGCCCCAAATTTATGATTATGGCACCTTTATATGGCCGGGAAATGGCACTCTCGGACCTAAATTTAATTATAATTTCCCTTTTTTTTGTTTGATTATTTTGAAAAAAGATTTGAATCCGCCACTTCGGTGTATTTAAAAAAAATGTTTACTCATAAATTTACAACAAAAATGACAGAAACACTTACTGTTATTATCATTATCAAGAAAAAATGTCAGGGTAGACATTTTCTAAATTCAATAATTGTTATGTCAATAATTTGTACGTTACTGTCAAATAAGCAAGTTAATTTCAAAACTATTTATTAATGATATTTTTTGGTCATTTTCAGGGGAAAACACGTCTTTAAATGTACTGTACTCTATCGTCACACATTCCCGCCCCCGCCCCGCCCACAATGCTATATCGCTTCTCATCATTGTCAATAATTATGATAATAAGAGTACCGTATTGAATATGCAACTAGTCTAGTAGCAATCGTTTAAACTGCGCACACCGTGTCGTCGTAAACTAATGATATGTAAATTGCACTCTACCTACACATTGACGACAGCAGAGAATTGTGTTTGTCTTACGTTTGCAAGAAAGCCAAAATGCATGAAACATTGCTTCTGAGAAAATGATCAATTTATATTTGGTCAATACCATTATATGTAAACCAGAGATACACATCACAATAATTCCCTACATCCCCGGCCCCTTGCACATGCCAAACGTTCGTAGCGGTACACAATGCGGTATGCACAATCTGCATTATTGATAATTAATATTTGGCAGATAATTTATGACACACAAGAAATTAATTTTAATGTTATAGATTTATAGAACGTCTATCTTGTGAGCTAAATATAAAGAAATATATTCATTGTCAACTATAATAATTATTATGCAAGATTCTGCAGGGTAAGATAGTGTTTTGTCCGGAGAACATACCCTGGATATAATTCACACGCAGTTCAGGAGTGCCTGGATCAATACGAATATTCCATTTCATATAGAGGGGTCAGTCACTGGGCTGTAATGTATCTTAGCTTAGAAAAGTTTTGGTTTGGTGTCAAGTTTATATAACATTTGCTTTATTCGTCCATTCTTTAGTTCTATATATAACTATTAAGCCTATGTCAAACCTGATAGGAACCTCATTTTAAGTGATTATAAAATGACAATACATTTTTTTCCACAGGGAATGGTGGAATGGCCATGGTCAGGTCTGAAGGGGTAGCTTGGAGTGTGTTCTCTTCTATTGTTAGGGTCTATGGGCCTAAGCCTAATACAACTGCAGATTTAACAATTTCAATCAATACTTAAATAAATGACTTGAAACTTGACTGTTTGGGGAGGAGATCTATCATCTGGATCTGCTCAGAATTTTCAAAAGCTTTATGAATGAACAGAGAGTACAAGAATAGCATTTTAAATTGGGTTTTGCATTGAAAACCAGATTCATGAACAAAACTACTGAAGGCAGCAAAGTTTTAAAGGAAGCGAAAAAAAAAAATATTTTAAAGAACTACCTATTAGATAATGGTTGATTCCAGTTAGAGGGAAGTGGATCAATACAATTGAATCTAACTTGAGTAACGAAGCTGTTTGATAAATATGCAAGATATAGGAATTGCAGTGACAGCAATGCAATAGTTCATATTCAAAGTAGTGATAATAATTATCAGCTAAAAGATGACGCAAATAGAACGCAAGACGTCAGAGATATTAAGTTTGTTTACAGCAGCATCATACACTGAGCTTCGAGGCTGAAATCTCAACCAGCTTCTGTTTTCCTAGCAACAGTGACTACAGTATAACTCGTTACTAGCCATTCAATTATCATTTATTAACAACTCACTTATGCTAATTTTCAAGTGGTCTTTAATATTACACACTGCATGAATCCCTATTACCTGTAGTATACTTTAATCATCTAAATACTGACGCATAGGAATGTTAAAAATAATCTAAACAACTAGTTTTAAATGCTCTCTAAATATAATCATTTTATACAGCACTGTACAGTAATGTATTTGCATGTAATTTCCAAATTTGATGTCCATGTAAATAAAGTAAATTAATACTATACAATACTGTAAATTCAAAGATATTTCATTTATAATTATATTTTTTAAGTCAAGTATTTATGATATCATCATCATCACCACCATTATTATCATCATTAATATTATAGTATCATAAACATTATCATCACCACCGTTAACATCGCAATCATGATGATAATTAACGATGATATTACTGAATTATAGTATCATCATTTGACATCATCATCACCATTATTATTATAGTATCACCATCATCATCACCATTATAATTAATACACAGTATTTATAATTAAAATAAATAGTATTATGGCCTATCTTTAATTCATCCATAAAATACCAATGGATCAATCTCAAATTTATATTTTATAAAAAGACTACATTTTTAATATATAAGCTGAGATGAGTATATTATACAGGTTTGTAATCAATGACATTACAAATATTTGAATTCTAAGTTTGAACATAATTTTATTGCGCTATTGATTCTTAACATTATACATGTACAAAATATCACAACAAAATGTATTTATTGACATATGTATATGCAGTGACCACTGCATCCATAAGCTCTAAGCACCCTAATACGTTTTCTATGACAAATACTTGTGATATATACATATAGGTACAATGATGTTATACCACACCCATATATGGGCATGATAATGTCATACCAAACCCATATATGGGCAAATCACAGGTACTTGCTACATAAACTTTATAGTGTTTAGAGGTTTAGAGTTCATATCTAATATAACAAGTTCTTTAGCACAGGCACACTAATCCTATTTCTGCAGAGTTTTTACCTTGTTTTATTCTTTGGAAAGGTATTTTTACCCATTCACTATTTGGTACCATGGTTACAAATGTTCTTCTATATAAAAGAAAGCAAACAGAAGTACAAAAGGTTTTTGAATGCTTTATCAACAAAAAAGTTTCCTCAGCTTTTATACCAGGTTTTAAAGAAAACATTTAAAAAATGAAATCCTCAAAAAATAATTTATCAATAAGAATTAAAAAACAAAAATGCATACAAAAAGATGGTGGTATGTTGTATTTATCATAAATAAAAAATAGAAAAAAAATCTAAGTATTAAAACCAATATTTATTTTCATAAATTAGTAACAGAATTAAAAATAAGTAATGTTAATTTGATATCTTTTGGGCAAAATTGATTCCTTATTCAGAGTAAAGTTTTAGAGTAGCTAGAAATATTACAAGCAATTCTATCTATGTCACTTTGTACACACACACACATTATAAGCACAGAACCACATTTTCACATTCATTTTCGATCAATTCAAACTATAAATATAAGTTCTATATGTTATAATAATAATAATAATATGTCGGTCTTATATAGCATGCTTAATGCAAAGGCCTCTATGGGCTTCACATTATTAACCTAGTCACTGTATCAAAAACCAATAGAACAAATTCAGTTCCCCTGGGTGATGGGTATTCTATAATGTTGCAGCTATAAATCAATACATTGGTCTTCAAACCTTTCAGATACTACCTTAAAATTAGGTGGAGCATGGAGACATAATATTATTTTATCTTATACTTCCATGAATGGAGGGAGACATTGTGGATAACATATCTTCCCCCCCCCCCAAAATGCAAACAAGTGCCGGCCTAGTGCCTCAGCTTCGAATACAAAGCCACACCATCACTTGTTTCCACAAAAATACAAATACAAAAAGCATAGAGTACTACAGTGTTACGTCACGATACCACGTGATACTACTCCGTTGCTATTGCTGACACAAAATGCGTTCAACCAACGCAAATTTCTCCACTGACAAACCATTGATCCCAATTTCTAACGTAATTATTAAGAAGTTGTATGTTAATTTTTCTTTGCAAATGTTAATTGATGATTAAATGTGTTTGATATACTAACATAATGCAAGCTTTTTGTGTTTTTAGTACATTTTGATGGTAAATTATTAGGTTTTAAAATGCCTATTCCAGAAAGCCTATTCTAAACCATTAAGATTATGAAGTCATTCAGGCGTAATAAATGGTTACCAACATCCAGAGGGCGCCACCTGGTGTTGTGACGACACGACTGTGGTACTCTATATTCATAAACACAGTGGTATTTCGAATGCTATTATAGTATTAGTATAATAATGTTCAAGTTGTTTTGATATTAGTTCCTGGAACTGACACTAAAAAAAACAAAAAACATACAAAAACCAACATCCAACACAGAACTGACAAAATTACAACAAACCAGGATTTCTGTTGTCTTGATTTTAAACCACATAAATAATTGATAACATAATTCATTTAGTTACTATTATTGTCAATTTGGAAACATCAACAGTTTTCAATCCTCAACTTTAAAAGTGACGGAATATACTGAAAGATATTTTACAACTTAATAACAAATTAATGACCACATCAGTGCCACCAAGAGGGGAAGGGGAAGGCAGGGGGAAAGACCCCCGGGATTGTAGGTAGCACTTTTTTTTCAATATTGTTTTCAAAAATAATAATTACTATTATAAGCCCTCAATAATGGCATGGGTCCCCTAATAATGGGCCCCTCCAGATTGACAGGGCCCCCATAAAAACAAATATTTGTGCCTTCGGCGCATTCATTCTCGCGCTTCGCGCTCGTCGCTGGGGGCCCACAACAACCCTTGCCCGTTACAGTTTCCCCTCTTGGCACCCCTGGTCCACATTTATCAATCCTTGTTCACTTTACATGAGATACTGATCAAGATTGTTGTTCCCCCGCTAAAACTATAAAAAAAGAAAATAAAAATAAAAAATATATTAGATATCTGTGGTGATAAAGTAATATTAATGTGCCCCTGGTTTACTTGCTCGTACCATCACTGAAGTTAACTCTATAAATCAAGCACCCATGTCAATAATCCTGGGATAAAAGGAAGGCAATGTAATACTCTCTTGCCCAAGAATCAGTTTATGAACTGAACCATCACATGTGTTCACCATATAATTTTTTTTTGCCACAAAATGAATTTCAAATGTTTCCCAATCAAATATTCATCTTCCAACATAGAGAATTGTACTAGGGTCCCAATGCAAACAAAATATTGTTGCATGATAATATATCAAAACACTTATAAGTAAGGATCCTCAACCAAGAAAACATTTTCACAAAGGAGCTGATTTTTTGAAACAGCCTCTTGTAAAACGTTTTTTCTACCTTACCTTAGGATTCGTATTTATGTTCACATAATATCAATGATATTTGAGCCTAAACTCAATTATTGTTAGTAAATAAATTTGGGAGCATAACAGCAATTTTAGAGATTGCTATATTCACAGATAATAAATGCATTCTCATATCGTATCTATGATTATTCTAATATCAGGAGCCAAAATTGTTTTATTTTGCATATTTAATGTGATTTGGGGTTTGAAGAACCCATTACCTGCAAAACTATTCTATTTTATTAACACAATTGTTTATGAATCATTGTGGTAATATACAGTATTATGTTCTTCAATTTTTCTAAAATTCTGCCCAAACTGCTGTATCAAGTTTCATGTGACAGATATCTGTGACTTGGCTACATTGGGGCGTGATACATTATCATCAGGAATGGCGAAAAAAATTGTTGTGCCCATAACCATGGGAAAAAAAAAAAAACATGATATCTCCGAACATTGGTCCAGAACTATTTTAAACCCTGAACATTGCCCATGTAATATGACAGCATCATGCATATCAAATAAATCCTTATGTGGAAAGAGGTTAGGAATTATAATCATAAATTAATCATTCACGGTAGTCTGATAACATACCAGTAACTAAAAACTCTTTTTTTTTCAATAATAATCCTATATAAATAGACTTTCTACTGGATTCAATGTACAGAATAGAAAAAGAATAATTCAACATAAGTTCAATAAAATTCTGATTGTTGTATCTTGTTAAAAATTATTCAATAAATTTCTTATATTTTTTACACATTTATGCTAGAAATAAAACGTAATGTTTACGATTTATTTCACATTTTGAAATAAAACTTACTTTAAAAAACTGACAAAATATATAACGAAAAAATAGCAACATGTAATACTTATATGCAAGTACACAAAGAGTGTAATGATATGCACAACAAATGCCTCTTATCGTGAGTGCTCACTTGGGGATTCACATGCATTCTTAAAACAAACTTCAGTTCTACCTTTCTAGGCTTAGATGTATATTAGGTGGCACGCCTACAGTAGTGGTTGCATCAGTGTAGTCTAAGCGCCCCCACCCCCTATAGGACATGCAGAGCTCAGTGGCACATAAGGTGTGCGGGGAGCCACAGGCCCTCTTAAAAAAAAAAAAAGCTTGCACCTCAATTTTCTCCCCCCAACTGGAAATTTTTTAAGCAAATAAATTATGCTGCAGTAGTTAAAAATTAACTCGTACCCCCTTATTTTGTCAGATAGCGCCCCCACCCTACTTTATCAACGAGCCCTCCCACTTAACCTTTGTGACCACATCATCCCCTAGATATGCCACTGTTTGAGTATGTCGTAACAGACATACATAACTTAATGACAGTCACTAATAATTTCATTTCTGCAACAATATAAGTAATACCACTTGTTGTTCTTACAATAAAACACATTTTGTGAAAGTAAATAAAGGATTATCACATGGTAACCTAAAAATGTTATATAATTTAATCATCATGCACACTGATCTTATTCCTTGCAATATGTAAAAAAAAAAGAAACATGTTTGTGACTTACTCTTCTACTACAGGCTCTCTGGGTAGAAGTTTGTTTTAAGAATATAAAATGAATTCATTTTTCAAGAACATAAAAAGTTTGTTATAAGACTGAATTTTTTTTTAAACATCACTTCTACCATATCTCTTCAAATATTATGCAAAGAAAAAATATTTCATTTTTTAAATCTTTTTCTCCAGACAAGTATTTTGACTCTGATGAAATGATGAGATAACAATAGGTAATATTTAAAATTGTCGAATATCAATATTTTAACATCTCAATCGGGGTAAAAAATCAATTGTCATGAATTTTTTTCTTCTCATGCTTTGGTCCTTAAGACACAAAAGTTTCAGGGGACAGACCCAGAATTTTAAAGACAAATAAAACAGGCCTGCAAGACTAGGAAGGGACATGCAGAATTAAATCAATCAATTTAAAGGAAAGGACAGATTTGCCACTTTACATCATTTTCAAATTACAATATTTTCATTTACGACAAATTATACCTTGCATAAGCCAACACACCCTGTATGTGGCATAATCATATCTGAAATATAAATGTAATTTTGTGTACATTATTCACAATCTATGCATACCTTAGATGTCTCCATGCATTACTACTGTATATCTATATTTATGCATGAAAGTATGCCATATGCATTAACATATGAGAATGTATGTACTAAAATAAATTTAAACATACAGTTAATACAAACATGCATAAGTATGTATGCACATTAATTATGTATTCATATTAATTATGTATTCATATTAATTATGTATGCAAATTAATTATGTATATGTATGTATATAAACTATGTATGCATATTAATTATGTATGTACAGTATCTATGATTCCTACACATACGCTACTTCACACATCATGGTTCTTTTTCCCAATAGAAACACATGAAAATGTTGAAGGCCCTAGAGTTGTTCATAAGAGCATACTGCATGCTGTTTGTCAACATAGATTGTGACCTTTCACCTCAATATACACCCAAATCATAACATCCTTCAATGAGCTAGGTTATGAGTTTAGGAATGTATGAAATAGCATTTGCTAGTGAAAGCATCGCAGCATGTCTGCATATTACAATAAATCATGTTTCATAACATTTCATTAATTTATTCTTCCTGAACTAAAAGGATATACATTTTTTTAAATTAAGTATAGTCATTGGCCACTTTAACCAAGAAAGAAGTTTTCTTTTACATAGATATATATTGATTCAATTCCCTTAAAATTTTGATTGCTTTACCAACAGGATAAGTATGATCCTCATACATAATCGCTTTCTTTTCCAAATATTAGATGTAAAATATATTTGATCTTGTCCAAAAACAGCTGAATATTCTGTACTTGGTCTCGTTTAGTATGATGGTTGTTGTATATATAAAAAAAAAGAAGTCTTGTATGGTTGTCTTCTTGCACTGTTGTGAAATCCCCCAAAAGCACCATCGTTAATAAGTTGCTCACATTATTCATGATTTCAATGTACCACTTTTTTGTTTGCGCATGACACGGTGAACAAGATTCCTTAGTTTGTGTTTATTCTTCTTCTTGGCATCTTTCTCCATTGCTACAGCTTTTTCCTTCTTCCTTATGTCCCTAACCAATGTGTGGAAGACATCGTCGACAAAGTGTCTAAGGGCTGCCGAGGTCTCAAAAAATGGACAACCAAATTCGCGGCCTAGTGCTTGGCCTTCTTCAAGTGTTACCTGGAATTAAAACATAGAAAATAAGTACTGTACAGTTTTAAGTGTCAAAATGAGAAAGCACTAAATATTTCAAATAATAAATTTAACAGTAGAGAAGAGGGCATTCACAAGAAGACTATATAATGTAATCTTAGAAACTGGGTTGAAAAATCAGGCAAATGACCAAGCCCATAGGCGGGGGTGGGGCGGGGGTTTATTTCACAAAATTGTTCCTAATTATCACGAAATGCTATAGCATACATTGCATTATATATTCGCTAGCTCATCTAACCGTTGATTTTTAATATGGTATTAAATTTATGGGAAATTAATCGTCTCCTGTTATTGCAGATTGATCTATAATATGAACAATGTTATCTGTAGGCCTGCAGATGTACAGGACATAACCTGGACCACCAAATTTCAAAAAGTCCACTTTTTAAAACGTATTAATTTACTAAAATCTTTCCTAATTATCGTGAAATGCATGCGTTACATTTTTTTTGCCGCTCTTCTAACCGTTGATTTTATGTGTATAATGATTTTATGTGAATAATGTGCTACAAAATCTGTTGGAAATTATCAGCACCAGCGATTGCAGATTGATCCATGTCATATGTAGGCCTACAGATGTAAAGGACATAACATTTACAACTTCAAAGTCGCAGATTCAAGGGGGGGGGGGGGCACCCTAAAAATTACAAAAAAATGGAGAAAAAGAAAAAACATAATTAAATTTTGTATGAGAGTGCCATTTCCGGCCACATCTAGAAGGTGCCATAATCATAAATTTTCTTACCTCAGCCCCAACCATGGTGGGCCTGAGGTAGTATTGACCTTCCGTCTGTGAAAGTTCCTCCCTGCACCCTCACCATCTATTTCTGCTTTAGGTTTCTAAATAATACCCAAATGAATGACAATTTTAATAGAATATTACGAATTATGGGTTTCAGAAGTCACATTATAAGGCTTCCAAAATGCTAATTTGTTGGAGCTTTCAGGGAATTCGCAACCCCCCACCCACTATCGCGGGGATCCCTAGGCGGTCGCTCATCCTAAGGTCCGATTTGGTCGCACAGCGCACCTCCCCATCGAAAATCCTGCCTACGGTCCTGATGACCCTGTACATAATATAAGGACCTCTTTCATGATAAGTTTGAACTTCCTTTTCAGAAGAATAAAATTATGCTATGCTTTTCCTGCTTCACCAGATCTCGGCTGTCGATATTACACAGTATAGTTTTCTCCTCCTACCCTCATTCACTCACAACTGACGAACCAGATACAGTATAAAGAGGCTTGCCATTCCAAAACCAGTATACTGTCGCTAATTAGCGTACAGTAAGAATGTGGTAGTATTGTATACCTTAGTACAGAAAAGCCTAATAATTTTACTCACAACTTTAGCAATAGGAAGTCGAGTAAATGACCCATCATTTTAAAGCTTATGTGAAGAATATGAAATATTAAGTCGATTTTCATGTTTTTGTAACTGATGTTGGTTTTGGCATGTGAAGCACCATTTGGATAAATCTGTCTTTCATCAATGATTAGTCAATTACAAAAAAAAACAGGTCCTGAAAAGGGGAGATTTCAGTGATGGGGTGAAGCGAGGATACAACAAATGTGGCAAAGACAAGCCAAACCAGTAACTCGTTACAAATGGTGTTTCAAAGGTAATGGCCAAAACATGCTGGAATGTCTAAATTTTTTGAAATCTATTTTATTGCACTAAACTAACCTTTATATATTATATTCCCCTTTTCAATGTCAAAACATAATTTTGTAACGATTTGGTGATGGTTTTATAGCTCTCATTCTACAGTTTAACCTTGTGTTAATAACTAACAATTGATTAATACAACCAGTGACTGGTTTGGCTTGTCTTTGTCACAAATACAAATAATAAACATACAGGCGAGACATGCTTTGTTCAACAAACCTGATTTTTGAAAGATTGTAAGCGGGCAGGAAAAATACACTAAAATTTTGTTTTCTAATTTTTTAACACTGAAGGCTAGCAGGCAAAAACTAAATGTTATTTTTATAATAAATCATCAATATCGAAGGATGTTGTATTGATGAAACAATGTATAAAGTCTGCAAAATATAGAGAAATTAACAAAAAATATAGTAGATTTTTAATCCATCAACTTGTCTATTGCTGATAAGATGTTAGATACTTACTACTCGTAAATTTTCTAGGTCGTACTTATTTCCGACAAGTACAATTGGGATATCGTCTGTGTTTCGTACACGCTCTATAAGTTTCTTAAATTCTGCCGCTTCTTCAAAGCTCCGTCTGTCTGTGATTGAGTAACAGATGATGAACCCCTCTCCTCCCCTCATGTATTGGTCTCGCATTGCTGTGAATTCTGCCTAAAATTTAAGGAAAAATGAGTTCTACTTAGTATTTCTTTATTAGGCTATCAATATTTGTATTGATTGTTGTTTTATCACATTTTAAAAATTTTATTAAACTATAGTACCTAGTCTTAATATTTAAATGTCTATGGAAGAAACAGAAAGTGTGAGTTTAAATAATTAAATATTACATTAATTATGTTATTTGATAATTTATAAAACAAATCAAACAAAGGAACCAGAATTAATTAATTGTATATTTGAAGTTTATTGTTATAATTTATTTAACTTTTTATCTTTCAACAGTATATTTTACAATTTAATGTAACCAATGAATGCATCACATGTATAAATGTGGTAATCAGTAAAGAAATCTTGAAATATTAAACCCAAAGTCTTTCAATTACTATACAGATAATTAAAAAACAGTAAAAAACATTGACCTAATCTATTTCAACACTGACGAACCTGGCAACACTGACTTGCATGAATATTTTTGAAGGCTGATACTCTAAAGTACAATCTCATACAGTCTATACTCTGTTTTTCTATGCAATTAAATTAAATTAATTTAATGCACTCAGGCATCAAAATTTAATCATCTAAAAACATAGAATAAAATGATCTCAAACACTATGATTGATTGAAACATCTAAAAACATACAGTAGAATAAAATGATATAACTAGGACAATACAGTTACTGTAGTACAATCAACAGAACATTGATCATGCTTGCATACAATATTGCAATACCTACAATTGATAATACATTTGACTTTTAAAGGTCAACACTTAAAGGTCATCATCATGGCAACACTTTCTCAAATTGTAGAGAACAATTTGAGACTAAATAAAAACTAGTACGGATGTGCGTGTAATGCTCACACAGAGTACTATATGTGTTTAGACTGAGATGAAAACTAGAGTACAGAGATGCATGTAATATTCACGCAGAGTACGTGTATTTAGATGAGATGACAGCGTTTGCACATTCACTGTGCCTTTTTTATATGTTAGGAATTCCATAAAAATGATCTTTCTGGACGGATTTTCATGACTGCTTAATACTGTATATAATAGCATCCACAATATGGTTACAGCCCATCTAGTAATTCTAATGTGTTTACTATACTAAAATATTATTCAATCATTGTTTGTTAATTTATAAGATTAATCTTTTCTTGGTATTAAATAGGCCTGTTTCAGGAAAACAAAAGATTGAGATTCAATCCTCAGGTTCATTCATAATAATAACGGACAAAGTAAAAATCTGAACTACTGAATAAATGTAATGAAGTTACATGTATAAATGTACTGTAAAATGTTGTGTGCTAATGACCACTTTATTGCATAATTGTATTGCATAGTTTCATTAAAAAATCTGTTCATTTTCTATTTTAATTTTTTTTTTATTAATATCTTGGCAGCACTTACTGTAAAGATAAGTTCACCAGACACAATTAGTTATACAGTATAGTACAGTACCCTGGAACTAACATACATGCTTGAGTACGTTATTAAGTTAATGACATCACTTCTGCACAAGGATATGGTTGTTTCAGTATACATTTTATGATACAATAATGTAATGATGTTCAAGAATTCCTTATCAAATGGTAAATTAACATTTATAATTAAATCTAAACAAGAAAAGCAAGAGCTTCAAAACAACTCTTTAAAAATTATAGTTATACAGCAGCATCTTCTACTGCATGTTTAGCAAAAATATAAAATCAATTTTAATTGAACTTTTCATATAACAGTAGGTGCAGTATTTTCATCACAGTATTATCATTACCATTTTCATAATTAAAAATATTCTATTATAATAATCATCATTATTATTACCAAATAATTATTAACATTAACATGATTATATTTATAGTACTGTAAAACCTCGAATTAAAGCACAAACGGGCTTAATCCCGGGAAGAAGCTCATCTTTTTAAGCCCCCCTCTTTATTTCGCAAAAGTAGCCTTGAAAAGAAGCCCATATCCAAAGTTCACAAAAAAAAAAAAAGAAAAAGAAGCCCAGGGCTTCAATTCAAGGTTTCACATACTTATATTATTACTTAAATTGTTATTCCCAATTTTGGCATAAACAACTTTAATTGTATCAACTGAAGTGTAGCTGGAGCTTAGTGGTTAAGATGCCTGTCTTCAATTCCAGAGGCCTGTGTATGGTTCAACTAGTTTAAGCTACAAATTTAAGGACATTTCCTCATGAACAAACTTCACTCCCTAACCTCAAAATAAGAAGACTCAGATTATAGAGCATACTGCATTTTAATAAGTGGCAAAACCTAAAGCTGTTGGACTTCAGTATCAAATACAATAACAAAAACCTAAAAAAATTATTATTTTTCACATGTTAATTGGCGGTGTAACCAAAGAGTATTTTAGAACAAGAGAGCCAACAACGCTCATTGAGATTGTAAAAAAACGATACGCCCTACGCAGCTAGCGTAGGACGCCAACTAACGCTTGTATGTTTTTTATTACCCAGTACTCCACCGCGCATGGTCGGTTTGTCTGTTTATCTGTTCTCCACAAGATACTGTACCTTTGTTTTCTGCTAACTGAGTTTATAGCGGGCCTACTTCTACCGCGCTGCACTGGGTAATAAAAAGAACATACAACCGTTAGTGGGCGTCCTACACAGGCGTGACGTTTTTACGAACGGGACTTTGTTCTCTTGTTCTATTAATACTCTTTGGTGTAACCTAATGCTTCATTTTGGGTGCTAGCTTGGTGTTTTTTTTCTTGCTTATTTCTTTTTCCATCTTTTCATTGTCTTCTTACCTTTTGTTGAGCGCATAGAGACTCTTTTTATTTGTGCTATATAAATCCATTTATCATTATCATTATTAAAATTATTATTATTATTATTATTATTAATAATAATAATAACAATTAAACATTATATTTCCTTTCCCTTTACTTCACTTAGCAGACATTCTAACCAGTTATTGAGTAAAGTTCTCATCTAGCTACTTTCAACCTAAAAATACAGCGCATTATCACATTAACATACTGTACTGTGGCTCATCAAAATAAACCCATTCTGATGCGCAATGCAGTCACTCCATTATGTACATAATGATATAAGCAAATGACATATACATGAAAATGACACAAGTTAATAATATGAAAGGTTCCCCAGGGTAAGCAGCTTTAGCTCAGAAGCTTATAATTAATGCAAATAAAAAAAATTAATTATCATTGCATATTTCTAAAGGAAAACTATAATCTACAATATCTTATGATAATAGAATATCTTATTACATTAGTAAATGAAAGCATCTGTTAAAGAGATTGCACATTCAATTCCAAGAATAGTGTTCCACAAATGGTTATATCATAATTATGTTACTTATTCTAGGAATATAGAAACACAGAATAGAGAGTCAGACTCTGTGAGTGAGCAATGCATAATTTGCCTCAAGCTACAGTAAGCTGACATTTTCAAGTCCCTGGATGGTTACAAAATGAGATGCAGACATCAATGCGTTCTTTTTTGTCTAGCTAGCTGTGAACTAAATGTATTCAATGATTTTTAAAACAAAATAGAGTTTTATTTTTTGTGTCAATCAAACCTACATATAATGAAAATATTTTCCTTTGCATAAACCTCATCTAAACAAAAGGTATGCCTATATTTTCGCAAGTCTTTCTTTAAAAAAAATTCATTCAAAATTGATACCAGATCATAAATTAATATGTTGCTACAGTATGGTAACAAGTAGTCAATTAAATTTAATGAAATTCTTATTTATTAGGGAAGTGTCAACATAGGAGAAAAACAGATATGAAAAAAAGATAATGCACAGTACTGTATATTAGAACATTACACATTTTTGACTGCAAACAGCAGAATTAATTTTAATATTTATCATTTTATTTTAACAATATTTTGGTTAAGGTAAATACAACTACAGAGAGAAAAAATGTTTGTTGCAGTGCTTGAAATACACTTAGTTCTTTTAAGCAAAGAGTGTGGTATGGTACTGGAAGGTACAGTAAACTATGTACTGTATTGTCATGTCATGTTGATTTGAGAATGATTTGCAAGGAATTAGTCAGATGCACTATTTTGAAAACACAAGTTACAAGGTCAATGTAAATGTAATAAGAATCAATTTGGTAAACTCAACTTCATCTGTTTACACCTAATTTCATTTTCTGTTTCAAGAATAGCACTCAAAAATGCACATCATGTCACATATTACTACTATTAAATGAGCCCATCTTTGATGTGAATCAAACTACAATACTTGCTAATTACAATTAACACCTAAATTATTTCTTATTATTATAAGTAATGCAAAGTAGCACCTACAGTTTACTGTATCAAAATGAAAGCTGTTTACAACGATAATTTAAATTAATGAATTCTCCCAAGCTGTATTATCTTGGAATGCTTCATATTGTTATCCTAAGGAGCACTATCCATCATCGAGATGAATCGTCATGGAAACACGGACACTGGCTGTGAATGGATTTTTAAGGGGCTAAAAGGTTGATTAATGATGCTCCTTAATGAATAAATATTTAATTGATTAGAAGCACTTACCTGCCCTGCAGTGTCAAGAATATCTAAAAGTCCAGATTCTCCATCTATCACTGTTTGTTGTTGATAGGCATCCTCTGAAAAAATACACTAAAATTAATAATTTTATACAAAGATTCAAATTTTATATTATGATGTAATCACAGATATGTATTATAAATACAATGTCAAATTCATTATTTTGTCTTTTTTTTTTCATCAGGTTAGTTTTTAAAAAAATATTCAGAAAGAGTAAGTCAAGCAAAATATTCCTCAGAATGCTGATTGGATACGTTAAGCTCATTGCATTACATAAATTTACATAAGATATTCAACCTCAAAGCATAATATTACATTACTGTACTGTAAACTGGGACCTAAAGGAGAACAATGTGATTGCCCAGAGAGATTAAACCATCCAGTGTAGAGAATGAATAAATCTACAAGATTACAATGAAATACAGGTTCAAAAAGGGAGGCAAAAGAGACAGACCAAGAGTAAGGTAATTAATAGGTTGACTCATTGAGATATACACTGATAGAGTATTGATTTGAAAAGATTACTTGATTATGATGTCACATAAATCGCAAGCATTTTATTTCTCATGACGGAATGACATTTTGCCTTATATGAGAAGACCAATTACTTGTGAAAGGCAGATGGCAAATTTTATTGCAGGTTTGAAAAGAATAAAAGGAATAAATATAATTTATATTGTTTAGACCTCAATCCATTGAGCGCGAATTGTGGCATACCAATCTTCATAGAATCGCGCCGGCACAAGACAGTCCAAAGCAGAGATTGCCCGGCTTTACTGTACAGCACGTCCCCTTTCAGGAAATGGTACAAGCAGGGAGACATGTGACCGGCTCTGGCAAAACCCTCCATTTGTCGCAATTTTTAATTTCCCACAAGCACCCAAAACATTCGAGAACCAAATTTTGAAAATGTTCATGTATTTAGATTTAAAAAAAATTTTGAAGAACATTTCTATAAAATATCAATCACTAAATCTAACTGAAATGTGTATTAAAATTAATTTAGATATACAAGTCTTAATAATAAACTATTGATTTTGGAATTTTTGGAAGCTGTTTTCACAAAACCTCCATGGCTGATATCCAATGAATATTCATAACTTTGGTAATACTCAACCAATTTCCTTCAAACAAACACCATTTTAAAGAAGACTACATGCAGAATTTGAAAACGCCAAAAACTCAATTCTGAATTTTCCCTGCAAATGGAGGGTTTTGCCCAAGCCGGTCACATATAAAAGTATGTACAATTATTATTAATACAGATGTTAAATTTGCATGAAACCAGTCTAATAATACCAGTTAAAAGGCTCACAAATTATAAGATTCTGAAATTGATTCAATAAGAGCTTTCAGCCAAAGGGGTTTTCCCTTGGACCCCACAATGGGACCCAAATATCCCTCTGGTTCCCAGCTCAATTACTTTCGCTTTGCTCTTGGGGCTTTTCTTGGCCAAATCCTGGCAACACAGGTCAAAAGAGATCAATTAAAGAGCTAGATTTAGAGTGCTAAATATTACAATAAAGAGTAAATCATCATTCAAAGCTGATCATTTTGGAATCTCAATAATTGTGCATAAGAATCGCTTATGAGGCCAAGGAAGAACTGGCATCAGTGGTGAAAGTGCTACTGTATTAACTCTCACTGGCTAAAACCAGGGGCACCAGGGCAGACAATAAAAGACCCAGGATATTTATTAGCATTTTTGCCAAATATACTGTAGTAACTGTACATTGGCCAAGCAGGGCCTTAAAAGCTGCACGAACATGAAAATAAAAAAAAAAACATCAAATTACTTGAAAATCGGGGAGGGGCTTTTCACCCAGGGTAGTAGTAGGGCCCTGAAGAAGCCTTAGACGGAGACTTGGACCTCTTTGTTATGCCACTGAGTGGTATAGGCCTAGTCTATTAATTAATATTTTTGGTATTAAGTGTAATATCAAAAGTTTGCACTTTTTGTATGCTGTAGCAGAAGGAATACAGTGAGTTCTTTAGCAAGGTTATGGAGTGAAAACTGTGCACACTTTCGCAAACATAGCAATTTAAAAATAATGTAAAATTGCAAGCCAGGAAATAGAATACTAGTAGCACCTTTTATAGACAATCGAGTCGGCAATAGTAATGCAAGGTCCATAATTTCTAATTTGGGAAGTACAGTATAAACAAGACTAAAAATGAGTATGATTTAAAATGAACGGATGAAGCATGCACTTGCATTATAAAATCTGCTTGAATACAGTATTAGTGTGTATGTATAATAACTTATTAATGAATAATTTCGATTGTAAATGAGTGTATGTTGACTGCACATATCATGCAAAACGTATGAATATTGCATGTAGTTATGCATTTTACCATTTCAACATGAATTTATGATATGTGGGTGCATTATGAATTGATAAATTTGTAGAGCTCTGACACATACAGTATGCATATAACGTCAAATCAATAACATGCATTCTCAACTCATTTCTACTAACATTCTTCTTTATTTCTCTTCATAAATTACAGTTTGAATTCATTCTGTACAGTACCTAACATTTGTAGATCTATTGTGTGAAAAACAGTAAATATTGACATAAAATTGTGTTAAAATGAAACAAACGCAAATAAATGTATTGATGATCGAAAGAGTTGCTTAAGTGTACACTGTTATTTTAATTTTCCAAAAATTCAATAATACACCGGATTTATGAATATTGAAATAGAAAATTATTAAATTAATAATTTTAAGAACAATTTTGAGTGAAATTGTACAACAGAAAATTATAAACTTGACTAATTGATTTAGGAAGCCACAGACACTTTTATGGATGTCCATTTGTTATGTATTTTCCCGAACATCTTCACTTACTATTCATTTATTGTATGGTACTTTCTTTTATCCATTCTCTATTGTTTCATTTAATTCTCCATAAAAACATTATTAATATTATGTTCTTTATGGCTTTTCAGACTTGCATGCCTATATAATCAAATCTCCCTTTTATGTAGAGTTTGTATCCACCCTCTATTGTTGTTCTTATTGGATTTTTTTTTTCATCTGATGAAGATCACTGTATGATCAATAACTTGTGGTAAATACAATTTTTTTAGTCTGTGTCTGTTTAATTGAAAAAAACCAAAAATTTTTATATTGTATTTGTAGTATTAGACAATCATTTTACCGATGATTAATGTGGAAATTTAAAATGCTAATTTATATTTACACTGGAGTGATGACAATCAAGAAACAGTCAATGTATTTTTGACTATCATAGTACAGTATTAGTCAGGTTAGCAAACAATACAGCCTTATTCAGAGTATTGTAGTCATCCAGGCACTGGTAGTCATAAATTCCCAGGGTAGCACCTACAAATAAATTTGCAGAAGACAAAGCCAGATCATCGCTGCATGCAACACAACAAACAGACTCATTATTTTCTATCATTATCATTACTATACAACATGGTAGACAAAAGGTCATTATTAACCTGTGTAGGCTGACTACAATAGTGCATTGCACTGTCTAACCAGACCTGAACATAACCTATTGTCCTAAATAACAGAGGTCCTTTGTTGCTTGTAAAGCAAAACAATGCAAGCTGTTGGTATGAAAGTAAATCTCACAGTCAAAACTTAACACTGGACTTTTTTTCTTAGGGGGAATATTTGATTAACTTATTAAAATTCAACTCAGTGTTGGATGTCTGGAAGTCAAAGCTTTATTTCATTCATTAAATTTGCATAAATTATCAGGTCAGCTACTCCTACATGTACAACAGAGGACTGGTTATTTTCCCCATAATACGGGCACCTTTGTTTTATCATTAAAAAAAAAAGCTTACAATAAGGAATTTTAATAAAATATGATATTTTAACAAATTATTATTATTAACCATAATCAGAAGAAAAAATGTAGAAATTGCTTGGTTGTGACAATATAATGATGTGTATTTTAGTGGAACTTGTGCATAAATAACTTATATAGCTTCCTGGGAGGGAAAAAGAACTAAAATAATAGGTTTAGTAAACATTTTGATATGGGGAGAAAAAATATAATCAGTGTGTACTCAGTGAGTTGTGTTGTACAGTACACATTAACCTCAATAAACTAGCTCTAAAAATAGCCATTTATTGTATCAAATGATGCATAATGAAGTTGTATTCAATGGAGAAAAATACCTAATCTATACTGTACTGTAGTGATTATTTCATTATTCTGTAAGTACTACTAATACAAGACATGCAAAAAAAAACAATAATAATAATTTAATAACATGCAATTACCATTGAGGAATGATACTAGAATACCATTATAAAATATACCAACAGAATATTGACATAAATTCATAAAAGAAATGATGGTACATTATCCTTAATTATTTATTTTTTTGAATTACTATGTAGAATTTTGTGGAGAAATATTTCCTCATGCATTTTATATGTAAATTCTTTTGTCCATGGCTTAGCTCAATAGTCTACAGCCAACTGACCAATGAAAACATGCATTTTGACTGCCCTGGGAACAGCTGAAGCTGCTAAAGTTCAAGTCCTAGTGCAGTACTTAAAGCCAGGGATGCTAGACACTTGTAATTATTCAGTATATTGGCCAATAGATAGCATTTTTGTGTGTGGTCAACTTGGCACTGCATCAGTAAACTTTAGGTCATACTGGTCATCCTAGCCAGGTCATATCACTTTAATAATTAATTTTTATTATTATCTAAATAATTAAACAATACGACATTCAAGTCATTTATGAATACACTGTGCATTTAATATTTTTTGAGGATATATGCATAAGATACTACTAAACAGGCTGCCAGTATAAAAAATAATAAAAAAAGTAAAGATCACATCATAAGCTACGAGCAGCAGAAAAATTACAATAATCTATATAATTATATTCAACAATTATCACTATTGTAAATAGAAAGTAATGCATATTTGCTATTGCCAATCTATTTGATATTAAAACACATTTCATTTTGACAAACAGAAATATTATAATGAAAGTAGAGTTTGCCACATGGAAATTCTGAAGTCATACAGGTTTAAAGTACAATGTGAAATAAATTAATTTCTGCTACTGAAACACAAAGACAATTAAACATGTTTCCAAGAAAATGATGTGCAATGTAAATGCATCTGGGTTTAATATTCATCAAAATTGTACATGGAAAGTGATTTGAAAACAGCCAACGCCTATTTTCTAAGAAAGCCAAGGCATCAGTATTGCTTCAATGTGTGTGGAATATTGCAACTGCTCAACAAATTTCATGACTAAATTGTCAATTGAAATTAGATTAGCATCTACTATATGGTGTGGCGAGACTTTTTTTATTCCTTCTTTTGCGAACTTATTTTTTCAAAGATCATTAGAGGAGGGCTTAAATAAAGTAAAGCTTTGTTTCTTTATTTAGCAAATAGTTTGCCAAAATTATCCTGACGGAGGAGGAATACAGTAAATATAAAATTTTATTGGTAAATGTATACAGTGTAGTAATGGGATGGTTAAATGCTTTAAAGTTATATAATTTTAAATAAGGAAGTTATATACGGTATATATCTTATCTTTGGAGATTTCAAGGCAGCGGAGGGTGTAATAAAACTAAAGAAAATCCTTTACTTTTCTCTGAAATTTCCACTTTTTTGTGGCGGCGGGTATGCTAATTGGCCAATAATAAAATTATATTTTTATTTGAAATCATCATTATTTTGTGGGGGGGGGGGTTCTCTAAACAAGGTATAAAAAAGTCTTGACTTACAAAGAATATTGAAGAGTTTAAAAAATTAGTGGGGGAGGGGGAGTGGTAGTGAAAGACTGTAGTTGGAAGATATACATGTAGATAGTTATTTAGGTAAAGACATACTGCATTGTAGATAAATTATTAGTGAATACTTTAATGAAAATTGAATCAAGATCAAAGATATTTAAAATGATAATTATACGTACCAATTGTTGGATCATGATAGTCTAAAAAACTGTGACTAACAAACTGTAGTGTCAGAGCTGAAAAATAACAAAGTATATCAAACAGTATTGAATGGATAATAAAACAAGAATTACAACTAAATTTATGTTGATGAACTTCT